AATTATAATATTATATGAGAAACAATAATATTTCAGTTATAATATAATTAATACTTACAACTATATTATATTATACTACAATATATATATATATAACTACTATATAATATATTTTAATTATATTTTAATATTGAAAGGTAATTATCAAAAAAAAACAAAAAATGATAACTTGAAATGACTATTCCTCCCAGTGAGGAATGAATGATGATTCACTCAAAATGGGTGAATGGTCATTCCTTTTGAATGACAATTCATTTCTTATAAATCCAACCAAACATCAAACTTGAATTTCATTCCATTTTATTCATTTTCTTTCCACTCAACTAAACACACCCTTAAGTCTGGTTGTCAGAGTGTTGACAATATATACGCTTTGTTTATAATTTTAAGTTAGTTCAAGCAAAATATTTAATTGTTTATTCTTATCTAAACTAAATAAATAAATAAAAACAACTTTATTGTTTGTTATAGATTTTTTCAAACTAATAACTAACTATTTGAAATTAGATTTTATGTCTTCAAATTTTTATATTTAATATTGTAATAAATCAACTATTTTGATTTTCTCTGATAATTATACATTATCTAATTAATTGAGCTTAATAATGCCGCACTGGGCCTAGATCTAGACCACCAAAATGTCCAAGGTCTCAAAAAAAAATATAGGAAAATAGTAGAAAATAGGCCAATATGAAAAGCTTAAGAAAGTATATAGGCCAATTTTTAGTTATAGAAATTAATAGGTCATAACTTGTTAAGTTATAGTTCATAATCAGATAAGTTATGGACAAACTTGTCAAGTTATGGTTCATAGTCAGACAAGTTATGGACAAAAATCGTGAATTATGGACAATAACTTGTCAAGTTATGGTTCATAACCAGACAAGTTATGGACGAAAACAGTAATTTGACCTATTTATTAATTTATGTAAACTATTGGCCTATTAATTTTAATTCATCTTAAATTTTGCATATTTTCTTCTTTCTCCCAAAAATATATACAAAGAGGCTCTTTACAGGAATACCCAAAAGATTTAAGGTTTGGATTGACTTATTCCATGGGGAAAAATTATTTGCAGAAAATGTTACAATCATTCATCCCACTATATTTAAAGCATCAAATATACTCTTAAGATATTAGTTAGTATCTGTAATGATATTGTCTTGTATTCACTGTGATACCAGTTACTAGTCTATAACCGCCGAGTTACCGAAGATTCTAATGGGTATCTGCCACGATAGCAATTGATATCTATCGTGATATGAGCTACCAGCTTGTAACCAATTGATTTATCGGCTGATAATTGTCAAATCTGCAAAAAAAAATCGACGTTACTGCTGACATCTGTTACGGCCGGACATACTACAACCATTTTTTACCAATAAACATAAAATAAAATCACAAAAATCCTTAAAAATCAATAAAGTGTCGTTGATTTTATTAATTCAAATTTAAAATTTAAGTTTTGTTATAGTAAAAAAGTACGAGAGCTCTTTTATTTGCTGTCAGATTCAGATCTAATTAGAGATCTCCATTATAAGGGAGATCTTTGGTCTCACACAGATGATGTAAGAGGATAGCGGTGAGAGAAGGGGCGACGATGGTGGATACCTTAGAGGCGACCGTGATGCACCGATGACGGTCTTTGTGTGGTCGTCGCGTTGTCCCTCTTTGAAGCCAACGGAATCTCACGGAGGTAGAGGCGCCACAGTGGATCTGACCACGATGAGTTCTATCCGGGAGCTTTTGAGGACAAGAAAAGTCTTCGGCGACTTTCAAGTTGATTAATCAGTGCCTAGATGAGGAGAGAGAGCGACAAAGTTGAGAAAGAGATCACTTAGGAGAAAAAAATCCTACTCAGAAAAACCCTATTTATTTGTGGGTACTTTAGCCTTTTTGGTTTTATTTTTATTCTACCACGGAATGTGATAAGAGTCGATCTTCACCTATTTTTATTCTACCACTGTAAACATCTCAATACAAAGTCTATAACTATTATTATTCTTTAAAATCTATAACTTTAGATGGTGAACTCTAAAATTAAATTTGTTTAGAGTGCCAACGACTTTTAAGCATCGATCAAGAATTGACTGGTTGATCAGTCTCAACTTGATCAAATGTTAAAACGAGAAAGTGAAGTGCAAAATAATAAATGAACACATAAATTCATAGTTGTTCACCTTCAATGTGAAGACCGCATCTATTGTCGGTCTCAAGATTTCACTATACTATAAGAAAAATACAATTATAATGGTGAGAGAGAATTTAGAAAGAGAGATAATTTAGGGTGAGATTTGGATATACAATGTGGTATCAATCCCATATTTATAAGAGATGATTTGAGCCTCTTAAGTTGCCTTTTCCTCAAGCTAATCAGTTGTTGACTGGCAGAATAGACAGTTTTCATTTTTGGTTTCAATTGACTTTCCTTGTTACTTGTTTCGTTAATTGTTTTGGGGAAGCTTCTTCTACCATCTTAATTTGATCCATGCCTTCGTTCCTTAATTTAACTGTTTGGATCTTCGTGGACTTTAAGGATGCTCCTTTTCTAATTTATCCACGATAGTCCCTACAAGTCTACAGTCGATTCGCTCCTCAAGTTGTTATATGTCTAGTCGTTTCCTCCACTCAACTTTCTTCAAAGATGAATTAGCTTCAAATTTTTCCCTAACAATAACTTTTTTTTCTCTATCTATTTTTCATTTTTGTACCATAATAAGAGATACTATAAGGATCTCAGTAACTTATATCATTTGATTTTCAATATTTAGTTTAATATAAAATCACACCGGACAATGACATTTCGAGGTCACTCTATTAACGACTTGAAATTTGACTCCAAATAATATATTAATTCATAAAAAATAAAATTTATTTTGCACACATAGTGTAACTCATGGCACACTAAGAAATGTTGATTCTAAATAGACTACTTTTGCTAAACATTCAAGTGATCAATTACTTAGACAAAGTTAAGTGAAATTATTAACTCCTGACGGAGACATAAATTCCAATGTCATAGTATCAATTAATCATTACCAAAGATTCACATTTTCAAATTAACAAATTATTGAATTATCGAATAAATTCTTTCCACATTTCCAAATTATGAAATTATAGAATTATTTAATAAATTCTTATTCTTGAGCAATTTAAAAATTGTAAAATCTAAGGATAAGAGCTTTTTCAGTAAACTCGGGATTAAGAACATTATTTTTTTTAACCTACAAGATTTTAATTAAAACAATCATGTAGTTTAAATTTTATTTATGACTCACTCGATATTATACTCGTAAAACAATCATCGCTAAACTTAAATTTTATGCTTCATTTGACACTGCACATTAATATTAGTGACTTACAATTGATTACTCCATTCTATTACTTTCAATTGATTACTCGATTCTATTACGTATTTAGACTGAGTTACCCCATCGCTTGTCTAATGTGGGTCGAATCCGACCCGATAAAAGGTGGGGTGGAGCCCTTTCCGCACCTCGTCATTTACAATAAAATAAATGATAAAATAAATGATAAAGACATAAAACTAATTCTAAGGAAAGAAAAGAAATTTATCGTGAAATTATCCCAAAAAAAAGCACATCAAATAGGTGATGAATTCAAGCATATTTTCAAAAATACCGAAAAATAATAATAATTATTGACTTGGGGCAATGGGTCACCATTGAAGTCCAAACGAGCCCAAGAAAGTTTGTAACAAATAACCTACTTTTGGAATTTTTATCGTAATAAAACATAGAATTATTTTCATAATTATCTCTGATTCATTTATCATATTTTAAAATGTCTGTTAAATTTTAAAAACAGTTTAAAACACCTCATAATGTATAAAAAAGTAGTTCAAAACGTCCTCACTATTTGCTTCCGGCTATAACTCCGACAGATCTGTTGACACGACATTTTATTAAAGAACAATCACGTTTAGTTGGAGGATTCAAACCATGTAATTTGAACAATTTTCGATTTACGTGAATTTTTTGTGAGAGAAAATACTGTAACGAATCATGAATCATGATTTGAATCAAGGAACGAATCCATCTACCAAACATCCTCAGATTTCGTTCATTTTATTAATTTAAATTTTTAATTTTAATTTTATTATAATTAAAAAATTTTATAAAAAATTATATTTAATCATTTTAATACAGTTAATAATTCTCATATGAAATTATATCTTAACTCAAATTAAAAATGTGAAAGAGACTTAAATATTAAAAAATAAATAAAACAATTGATTATTTTTCAAAAAAAAAAAAAGTTTTCTTTCTCCTGTGTTGCAGACGAACATAGCTGCCCCCAAAACATACCAAAGCTAAACATCTTCAAAACAATAAACCCAAACATATCCAAATCAAATCTCATTCAAATACCTGCAAATGAGAACATTAATTATGTTAGAGAAAAACCCGAATTAAAAAGAAAACAAAAAATAAAAACCCAGATCAGTAAATTCATCCCTCCGGCCGCCGCCCTACCAAGGCCCTTCGACCCCGCCCTTGTGCGACCCAGACCCTGCCACCCTCACCGTCGTTCGTCCTCATCCTCGTGCGAACCCAGGCATCACTGCAGCCCCAACTCACATTTGCCCCTTTGCGCCCTCTCGCAACCCAAGTCATGAATCTCTCTGTTACGTCTTCGTTTTGGTCCGACTCGAGAGGGTGCTCTGATTGGGCTTTGGGTTTGAAAAATGGGGATTCTAATCTTAGGGTTTTGGATAGCTCGGATTGAATTGCTTGTATACACGTATGTTTTTGTGGGATTGAATTTGAATTTGATGATTTTGTTGTGTTGATGATGATTGGGTTCTTGTGTTTGAAATGGAAACTGACCACACCCATAGATAAGGTCTGAGTTTTTATGTTGAGCTAACAAAAAAAAAAGGTCTGAGTTCTTACGAGAGAGAAGAGGTTTCAATCAAGTGTTACAACGAAAATGCAACACAACCACAAAATGTCTCCACAAAACCACTAATTAGGCCATTAATAAGTATTCATTTGCATTTTTTAAGTTCAGGTGATTTGGGTTCATATGTTAATTTGAATATAATTTGAGTTGAAATTTTAATTTGTGTTTGTATTTAGATGTGTACATTTTGAGTTAAGATTTGAATTGAGAATCTATTTAAGTGGGTCAAAATTTAAATTTAAATTTAAATAATATTTTAATAAAAAATCAATAGTGATAAAAAATTTTAATAGGGTATATGGGTGAGTTTTATTCGTCTATTTATTGTGAACGCATAGAAAAAAAATCATTTCAATCAGAATTAAAACGAAAACATTATGGCGTTTTTTAAAAAAAAATATTGTTCATTAACTTGAATTTGAGTTTAGAAACTTTAGTTTAAATGGGAATTTGAACTCAGATTTTAGTCTCAAATTCAAGTTCAAACTCAAGTTCAAACTCAAATTTTACAAAAGAACATGAACTTGAATAAAGTTGTAACTTAAGTTCAAATTTTTTTTTTTTTTGAGTTTGGGTGCAAATGAACAAATCTAAAAAAAAAAAAACTTCTGAAAACAACTGCAGATCGTTCATCGGAGAGCTCAAAACCTGAGCTTGGTGAAGAACCACATGTTCTTGTCAGTCTTGAACCTCTCCTCGAGGCACTTTTTGGTCTCCTTCAAGGCAGTGACCTTATCCTTGGACTGGAGAGTGGAGTGTTGGCAAATCTGTCAGTAAAATAAGAAATGAGTAAAAATTAAGATAATATGGACACATAATATTTTATGTGAAAAATCCTCAAAGGAGAAGGGTAAAAATCACAGGACAAGTGTAGAAAGTTTTCACTATGAAAAATAAAAGTTACAACATTCTCTCTAAATTACACGAAGAGAACAATATGAACCATTCTTTCACGTAAATAGGAGAAACACCTCACAAAAGAAGAAAAACTGGATAAACTAATGTCGTGTTTGGAATTGTTCTTGTTTTTGTTTTTCACGTTTTTTGAGAAAAAAAAATGAAAACGATTCCAAAACGGCGTTTGTCACAATTAAAGACAAAAAAAGGGAAATGAAAACGATTTTTTAATTTAGTGTAAAATGAGAGATAAATGAAAAACATCTTTTAGTCATTTTTCATTTTTTGTTTTCATTTTCTCCTCTCTCGAATAGAGAGAGAGACATTAATGGATTTTTTTTATACTGAAAAAAATCTCATGATAAAACTACTAAACGCATTTTCAAAAATGATTTCTGTTTGAGATTGAAAACGTTTTCATTTCAATTTTTATACAAAAAATAAAATCATTTTGAAACGAGTTTCAAACGCATCCTAAATTTCTTTTACACTATGGGAATTCTCTCTGAATGGTGAGAATGTGATGCGAAACTGAGAAAGGGGTGAGTTTTATTTATAGCTGAGCTCTCTTGAGAACTAGCTCTTCTATCAATGTCAGCACCGAATTTGGTGCTGGCTTCTCCTTTCTCTCTCCTTTTTTTTTCTTATTTCCTTCAAAAGTTATGGCTGCATTTGACTTATTAGGCAACGCTTACACCCACTTGAAGATTTGATTGAGAGTCAATCATGTCTCTACACCATCCTTTCTACCTTGTCACTATTATTTTGCTTACGTTTCTGCTTGACCACGTGAGAATCTACACCATTTGAACTTGTGGGTATTTAATGGCTTAGTCAACGCATATTCTAGGTTCTCTTTTGTGTGAATCTTTTACATATCCACACTTCCTTCTTCCACTACTTCACGAACAAAGTGAAATTGAACTCTTGTGTGCTTCGTCTTGGAATGAAAGGTTGGATTCCTTGCAATGTGAAAGGCGCTCTGGTTGTCACAAAACAAAATAATCTTCTCTTCTTTGTGCCCAAGCTCTTCCAATAACCTTTTAGTCCAAATTACTTCCTTGTAAGCTTATGTAGTCGTCATGTATTCTACTTCTGTTGTAGATAATGCTATAACTGACTGCAGTTTCGAAATCCAGCTCATAGCTCCTCCTGCAAGTGTGAACACATAGCCTGTAGAGATGACGACGTCCTTGAGGTCAACGTCGAGGGTGTAGCGAGTCGGCATGAGGTGCTGGTAGTTGACGAGCTTGACGAAAGCCTTCATGTGCGACTTCTTCACCATCTTCTTGGCTGAGTCCTTGGGGATGACCTTGCTCGGGTACTTTTTTGTAGAATTACTATAACGACGCGGGGACTAATGAACCTATAATCCCGAGCTCTAATAAAATTAATAATTAATTAAACTTGAAACTGCACTCTCAAAATTATATACATAAATTACTTCAAAACCGTGAAGTGTCAATTTGATATAGTCACTGCATGTAGATCAATCCTCCATAAATAATTCATAATTAGAGCTAGATAAAATCCGTTAACCTCTCTAATTACATCTTTATCATTGAGTACCATTGAATCTCTAATGGACAGTGATTCATAAAACACATTTATGAATCAAAGCTCCTACTAGTCCAAGTACCGAATCAACCCTCAAGAGAATTATTTATTTACTTCTTTCTCAAGAAGTAATGGATTCCATCTCGTGTAATAACATTCCCGGCCACATACTTCATCATGTCTCCAAAATACAATGAATAAGATTCAGGATCTCAGAATTCGTACCGAGTAAATCAAAAGACACAAATCCATAAATATGAGTCTGTTAAGAACTCATGATTAAGATCATTCTATATATGACCATCAGTAGACTCAATTAGAATTTCTATACTTAACAGAAATTATTAGAAATTCATATTGTTTCTGTGCCTTTGTTCCACATCATCTCATCATGCGAAATACCCTCATTCAATATCTCGTCATATTAACAATGCGGATAACACCGTTCTATTCTAAATGAGAATGACATGTATTAATAATGTTTTAATTAAAGATTTTGAACTTTAATTAAATTCATTACGAACATCGTTTTGATTATTATTCTTAAACATTATCCTCTCATATATAATACTTATATACAATGTTTAAGGTCACATAAATAATCATGAAATTTTCATTGATATTCATAAAATATTAATAAATATATGCACATTAAATAATAAATGAACTCTTTTATTAAATATCTTATCACATCTCATACTTTTAAGACACTATTCCCAACATCTTACTCTACTTGTTACACCCATTTTAAAAATTTTAAAAAAAATACCTAAAACTAAATTGTAGTTTTTTTCTTTTTTACCTTTTTTATCCACCCACCAATCAAACTTTTCCTTTTCTTTTTTTTTTATGTCAATTTTGTTCTTCAACACCAGAAAAAATTTAACTAATAGGTAGCTCCTAAATGCTTAAATGTGATTATGTATTTGGCACATTCAAAGCACATTTCTTCAACTGATCAACTTCTTTTTTTTTTTTTTTTACCTCATTAACTTCGCTACTTGATATTGAGGCTGCAACACAATTTTTGAGTAAAAGAACGAAATTTTTTTTGCCTCATTCATTTTATCGATTCGAATTTAAAATTCTAGTTTTATTATAATAAAAAGCCATTTAAAACAGTCATATCTAATTTTTTTTACTATAATAAAAAACTCTCATATAAAGTTATATCTGAATTCAAATTAAAAATTCAAATTAACGAACTAAACGGGTCTTTTATATTTCCAAATCGGAAAATATTGCCTCCACAGTTGATTTGTCTCCAATTGTCGTGCCAGCCAGCTAGTGCAGGTAGTTCTATAGAGGTAGGATTCTCCCGCAAGTTAATAAAAGTAATTTTATTAATGGGTGTTTTACCCTAATCTAACAATACATAATAAAAAAGTTTTAGTTATTTTTTAAGTGGCAGTTGCTCCCCTTATTTTATTCTTTTTTTAACTTTATTATCTTTATGTTTTTTATGAATTTGTTTACATTTTTGATTTTTTTATATTTTTAAAAAATATATTGTTGCTTATTTTATTTTTATAAGAGTAATTTTTTCGTATGTGTTCTTAATTTATTTTTGGTTAGTTAAAATATATATATTTTTTAAATGTGTCTCAATTTAATTTTTTTTATTAATTATTATCTTTACATATATTATCTTTTAAAATAAATTTAAAAATCTTTAAATAGTTATATAAATGAATATCTCATTATTTAATAAATAATAAACTCTTTAGGTATTTTTAACATGATAATACACGTAAAATACATTATAAAACTAGTAATATTAAAAAGAAGTATGTGAAAAGTAATAAAGTGTGTAAATAGACGCACCCAAAACTTAGTTTAATAAGTTTGATCATCAATTAAATTTGATAAATTTAAAATTCACCGCTATTAACTAACTTAATAAAAAAATATCTACAAGTTATTGTAACTTCCCATTTATTTATTCCTAAAAAAAAAAAAAACTAATCTAAAACGGATTCAAAAGGAAATGGCAATTTGGAACGTGATATTTCTATTCATATATAATACCCGCCCACACACAGAGACTTACGAAGTGCTGTTCGCACTCTGTGCCCTCTCTCTCTCTCTCTCTCTCTCTCTCTCTCTCTCTCTTTCTCTCTCCAACTGCCACTCCCTCCTTTCCCTCTCTCTCTCTCTCCAACTGCCTCTCCCTCCTTTCCTTATCTCTTTCCTCGCACCTCCAATTTCCCAGTTATGACCGAAGAGACCTCCAAACCCGTGCTTTCATGGCGGAATATCCCTAGCCTGAAGGCATCCTCTTCTTGCACTCCGTTCGAGACGACGGACCACGAACCGCCCTGGAGGAAGAACACGCAGCTCGGTTTCCATGGTGGTGGGAGAGGCCGTGGCAGTGGCAGTCGAAGAGCCTGTAATTTCGCGTGCGTTTCGGTGGTGGAAAAGGGAGAACAGAAGGAGTTCGCGCCCTCGCCGGCTCAGCTCGTGAAGCATCCGTTGGCGATACTCGCTTTGGTGCCCAAGGACGCCGCGCTATTCGCCGCCGGAGCGATTGCCGGTGCCGCCGCTAAGACCGTCACGGCTCCGCTCGACCGCATCAAGCTCCTTATGCAGGTTTTCGTTTGATTTATCGTATTTGTTCAATTCTTTTGCCTACGGTGTATCATTTCGGAATTTTATGTTTCGATTTTGAAATTTTGGTGCGCATGGTGCTTCTGTTGAGTTTCCTTTTGGATTCTGAGAAAATGCGGGGCGTAATTTGGTTTTCTGAATATGTACGATGAAAACGACACTGATGAATTTTGTGGATTTCGAAATTCAACTTTTGACTTTCATTATTGCTAAGTTAAATGAATAATGATTTCTGATTTCCTAATTATGGCCGGATTACACGTAAAAACCTGCGATTTGAATTTCATGTTTCTTGTATTCTCTTGGGTACCAACGTCTGGGCGAAAGTGTTGATATTGATTGTTATGTTCTTCATTTCTGATTTTGATTTATATTAGATATCCTTGAACTATCTTGGATGTGCACTGTTTTCATTTTTCTTTAATACACTTTCAGAATCTTGAATTAGATATCATTGGGAAATAAGTATTGTTTTGTCACTCTAATGTGAACTTTATTGGATTAGATTTGCTTGGGAATCAGGCCATCTTGGTGCTGTTTTATTTCTACCTGTTCCATGTATGTAATGCGGGATCAACATTACACGTAAACATGACTCGTTTCCTTTTCCTTTTGTTATCTTTATTTTTATTGTTTTCAATATGAATACAAATCTGTTGGACCTTCTTGGTACTGATGTTTTTCCTTTCCTTGTATTCCACTTTCACTGTATCCATCTCCTTTTATGTGCTTGTGTTGTTTGTACAAGATGTGAAGATTTCTAAATTCTTATTCATCAAAACAAAATGGGTAATTCATAAAACATCTCATGAGGTTTAAAATTTTGGTAGATGTACCATTGTATTGTGGATTACTGCATAACGATGTGATAGGCCAGATCAACTGAATAATACGTCTTCCCTTATAGTTAAGTCTTTTAGCGAAGGTGCTAATGCACTGTGATTTTGCTGAGTATTCTCAAATTTGCTTGGTTTTGCCAATGTTAAGCAATGAGTATGGCTTGGAAATTGCTTAGCAATAAATTGAATAGATAAGTTGATCTGTTTTGCAGACTCATGGGGTACGAGTTGGACAAGAAAGTGCTAAGAAGGCGATTGGTTTCATTGAGGTATGTTATGCTTCTTTTCTTCTGGCCTTGATTTGTATAAATTTGTCCTACAATCAAGCTTTCCATGACAGTACTAGCTTTTATCATCATCTATACCTTAGACATAAATTATTCCGAGTGATCTTATCGTTATTTTTATTACTGTACAATATTTCATGATTTCATTGGAAAACTGATAATTAGGATAAGCAAAATGAGTGAAATAAGAATAATGTTGGGGACGTGACTCCAATCTCAGCTTTTTAATACCAACCTACATGGCATGTGAGTTTGTCACTTATTTATTGGTAGGTGTTCAAAAACTTGTCAGTTCAATTAATGTTGAATGATTGCATCTACCAGTGAAAAAAGATGACAACTCATTGGCACGGGAGTTGGTATCAAAAGTTGAGATCCCTATAAATGTTTGAGCCATTTTTCTTGAAAAGAGTTTATGTTATATTTGTACTCCTTGCATCATCCTTCTACATGGTAGCGTGATGCTTCTATTGTTTTTTAATATTGTGTTCCATTGAGTGTTTCAACTTTATCCTGGTGGGGAAAGTAATTTGAGACTTTCTTGCTGATTCATCTATTTGTCTTTTGCCGAAAAGACTGCAATGTTGCGGAATTCTTTAATATGAGAGGTTCATAGTGGATTAGTGCCCATTGACGTTCATGTCCTTGGCTTTATCATATGTCAAATTGAAAATAAGTATATGCTTAGGCAGTGCCATAGTGGAAGATTCTGAAGATGATAACAATTGAGGAGAGAGAAGATTAACTATAATCCCTTGCTTAAAAATTAAGTAGTTTGCTTATGTTCTTTATGTTTGTTAGTTTTGCCAATATTTAATTCCTTATTTCTCGATTTACATGGACGCTAAGTATGTATGGATAGAAAACATCTTCCTTGACATCTGTAGTTGACACTGTCCTCTTGGTTCACCTCTTCTTGTCAAATAACAGTGTGTTCCCTGCAGGCTATAACAATGATAGGGAAGGAAGAGGGTATAAAAGGGTACTGGAAAGGCAACCTCCCTCAGGTCAATTTCCATTGACAATTTCAAATTTTATTTTGCCAGGTAATGTTGATTATGGTTTTCAGCTACATCAATTTTTAAGAATTTCTTTTGAATTGTCCAGGTGATACGGATCATACCTTATAGTGCCGTCCAACTTTTTGCCTATGAAACCTACAAGGTAATTTTCAACCACATTCAAGAAAATCTCAGTACGAATTATATGCATCTGCAATTAAATTACATAAACTTTTGAGTCTACAGAAGTTATTTAGGGGGGAAGATGGAGAGCTCTCTGTAATTGGAAGGCTTGCGGCAGGTGCTTGTGCGGGCATGACATCCACTTTTGTGAGTACTATTGCAATGGGATCCAAAATTATTAGTCAAATGACTTTTATTTCCTATTTGGTTCCGGGGGAACGTGCCCATGCTTTACTTGGGAACAAGTTTCTTTTTGTGTTTAGATACCGTCACTTTGTACATCATTCTACCTGTGATACATGCCTAAAGTATTCACTGTTGTTTGTCCGTTTGTAGATAACGTACCCATTAGATGTTCTGAGGTTACGCCTAGCAGTTGAACCAGGATATCGAACCATGTCTGAGGTATGATTTACAGACATTATAATTACAAGATGACCTCTCCATAGTCCATATAAGGATGAATTCTGATGGTTTTAGCAACAAAAAAAAAAAAAAAAAAAAAAAAAAAAAAAAAAAAAAAAAAAAAAAAAAAAAAAAAAAAAAAAAAGAGAAAAAGAAAAATAAAATAAAATAAAGAAAATAAAATAAAAGAAAAGAGGATGAATTCTGATGGCCTCTTTTCAGATTGCATTGAACATGCTAAGAGAGGAAGGAGTAGCAGCTTTTTACTATGGTCTAGGGCCTTCTCTAATTGGAATTGCTCCATATATTGCTGTCAACTTTTGTGTTTTCGACTTGTGAGTATACTTACACTTACTTTCCCTTTTATATTGAAATAAAAAAAAAAAAAAAAACATAATATAAGTTGGCATATACTGTTGTGTTATGTTGATGACAGGGTGAAGAAAGCTCTGCCAGAGAACTTTCAAAAGAAAGCTGAAGCTTCTCTTGTAACAGCATTGGTGTCAGCTTCTCTTGCCACGCTCACATGTTATCCTTTGGATACTGTGAGAAGACAGATGCAAATGAAGGGCACACCTTACAAGACTGTTTTAGATGCCTTTACAGGCAAGTTTTAGGCACTAATTGCCATTTATTTATTTATCTTGGAATACAAGCCTCATATTTTACCATGTTACTAAACCTGTCTATGATGGTCTCCTTGTGACTTTGTAGGAAAACTGTGATTGAACCTCTCTCTCTCTCTCTCTCTCTCTCTCTCTCTCTCTTTCCCAAATGTAGTTTATTTCAGAAATTGCATGTGTGATTTTAAACTTTTTACTTCTTTGAATCAACTCAATGTTGGTGAGTGTACAGTCGAATCAGTGTGTTTCCTTAAGGTGTTACTTAATAGAACAAATAGAAGTTTTGGCGTTAAGAGTTCCAGAACTTTTCTTGCTAAGAAGTCAGTAGTTAATATAACTTGTGTCTGTCTTGGTCTTGGTCATACAGGAATTGTGGCTCGAGATGGATGGATAGGCTTATATCGAGGTTTTTTGCCCAATGCTTTGAAAACTCTACCTAATAGCAGGTTTTACATCTTTTGTGTTTCGTTTTCCTTCAACTTATGTAGTGTCGATGGCTTTGTTCTTGTCAAAGACTTTTTCCGCATTTTATCTTCACGGCATTTTTTTCCCCCTCTTATCATTAGTTTACTACAATGTGTGGATTTCTGCTAATGCTGCAGCTCCTATGCTTTCATTATCTGATTATCCACTCCATTTTTTCCATTGCAGCATTAGGCTTACCACCTATGATTTTGTCAAACGTCTAATTGTGGCCAGTGAAAAAGAGATACAAAAAATTATGGAGGAAAATCGCGACAAACAGCATCAAAGTGCTAGCGGTTGAATGATCTGAACTTTGGCTTCATTTTACCAATTTGTTTTACCCAATTTTTCTGGCGGAGCTCGGGTTCCACTTGAGTGTCTAGTGTAGGACTAGCGATGAAAATTTTTGGTTGCCTAGTGAATCCTTGTCTTGGGCCATGTTGTGTATTGATTTGGTTAGGTTGCTAATTCTTTTTGTGGAATTTGTCTTCCACCTTGTACCCAAATAGCTAGAGTTTGTATTATTTTTTTATTTTATTTTTTTTTCCGAGGAAGTTTTGTTAATGTAAGAAAATTAATCGTGGTAGTTAAAAGTTCTTCACTTGATAGTTTTCCCGTGGCAATTCCGTTTCTTGTGCATGCTGATGAAGCTAAAACATGCAAGATATGAGATATCCAACAGTTGTGAAAGGCATTGGAGCATTTGGATTGTTTTTATGAAAATGTGTTCCATTAGTATCTGGAAATTCCAAAAGCAATTTTTCCATCCTGGATAGAAGAAAAAAATGTATTTGCGTATGGATGAACGTTTCTTTTGGAACTGTTCATCCCATTCTTGATTGGTTGACCAATACAACCAGCGATCTGGTAGGCTTTTAACAGAACTATAAAGACCCGGTGTTTAGAATCTGAGTTCTACTTGGTATATTAAATTTTTGATACCTTACCAACTAATTTTCCTGATTAAATTTTTGATAGGGCATTAATTTGGCTAAATTTTCATTTTTTTAATCTGGTCTGTATTCTATCGGTAAAATTTTTTTTTTTTTTTCATGTATGTGTAGAAGAAACTCGAGCATTTTATGGAGGGTATGAAGTTATTAAAGACCTCATATAATAAGAAGTTGGTAAGGTCGAATGAGGCACCAAGCCAACAAGAAGTCCTCGGCCTCTTAAGTCTCGCCCTCAAACCTCCAAGATGACTTGCATGGTGAGCAGCGCACGACCTCAAATTGCTTGCTATTCGAGCAGCTCAACAGCCTCAAAGGCTACTCGTGCAGTGAGCGACCCACAAACTCAAAAGGCGAGCGGCCCTACAACCTCAAGTTGTCGCTATACTAACCACTAATCAGTGTGTTTAAGGGTGGTCGCTGTACCATTTGTCTAGGTTGGTCACTAGAAAGATGAATTAGCTAACGTAGTAGCAACTTCGATCAACACGCGAAATTGAAGTCAAGCCATTGGATTTGAGATCATCAAGAAGACAAAGAGGTCCCTAACGAGGACTCCAAGATTATGATGAGCAACTTGTTGGTAGCAACCCGTTTGATCAAAATTAGGTAGCATAGCGACCAACTTAGCAAGAATTGTCTATCAGGTCGCGTAGCTTTGTATAATGCAATGCAATGACTTTGCTCCTTTTGGCACCTCAAACATGCAAGGACTTCCTAAATACTTAACGTAAACATTAATATGACCATGATTGCAATTGCTCCCGAGCTTCTAGGCACAACCTCAGGGCCGGCTCAACTAGTTTTGGAGCCTTAAGCGAAGTTTCTAAAAGGGTTTTTTGATAAGCCTCCGGTACGTTTTACTTACGTGCGGAGGAAGGTTAGAGAGAGAAATGTGGCTGGTGCAAGGACTGGCAGTGGGGATACGAGTCAGCAAAGTATTACTCGGGGAGAAGATGAGCTGGAATGTTCAGTGGCTGAGTTGGCCATTTCTGGGGGAAGTTAGATTGTTTGTTAAGGGGAGTTAGTTACTGAATATAAGAATACTATAAATAAGTGTAGTCAAGGCTAGGAGAGGCATTCGATCATTTTCTCATAAACTTCTTAGACAAGTTGTTAGGGAGTGCAAGGGGTCACTCGAACACCCCCATACCTATTCCCATTTTCAATCCCTAGATTTTGTACATTTCCGCCATTAATAATAGCATTCAAGAGTAAGATTGAGTTTGTGTGCATAATTCTTGTGTAATTACATTCTAGTTGTTCTGCGATTGTCAGTGAGCTTATCAATTGGTATCAGAGCTCTTTCCCGGGATGACGAAGAGGACGGATGATCGCGATAAGGAGAGAACAGAGGTAAGTAAGAAGAGTTGTTGAAGGAAGTAGAATCCATGCGTGAGGATCTTGGAAAAATACCGCGGTTGGAGCAAGGGCTCGAGTTATTGCTGATTAGAATGGATGAGTTGTTGAAGCAGCGAGATTCTGAACATCGAGAGTCACCAGAAACAGATAATGGAATTCTGGCGGAACAGACGGCGCCGACGGTGGAAACTGATGGCCGACCGGCCGACTGGCGAGAAGGGGGATTTCGTTCGGAATTTCGTACTCAACGAGTGGAGTTGCCGGTGTTCGATGGTGATAATCCAGATGGCTGGATATTTAGGGCAGAACGGTATTTTGCCATGAATAGACTCTCGGAGAGAGAGAAACTGGATATGGTGGTGGTGAGCTTGGAAGGAAAAGCTCTTGACTAGTTCTAGTGGGAAGATCGGAGACGAGCGATCCGGGATTGGATGGAGCTAAAACAGATGGTGTTAGAGCGATTTCGTTCGACACAGGAGGGGACTCTCTGTGAAAAGTTCTTGTCTTTGCACCAAGAGACTACGGTGAGGGAGTATCGCCGGCAGTTCGAGACGTTGGCAACGCCGCTAGCAGAGATCCCGGAGCAAGTGCTGGAGAGTGCCTTTGTGAATGGTCTAAGACCTGAAGTAAGGGTGGAGATTCGAATGTTGAAACCAAATGGTTAGTGCCGAATCATGGACTTCGCCCAACGGGTAGAAGAGCGTAATCAGCTGGTACGCGGGCCCAAGGCCCAAATGGCTTCATTTAATTCCTGGAATAAGATTGGCTCGGGTTCTCAAGGGCCTAGGCTAAGGAATGGAGTGACGTTTGGTGGAGGATCCAGAACGACAAACAACTCTGTGGCGATAGGGCGACCTTCTGGAAATTCTGAGAAGGCCGCAGTTTCGAACGGTGGGGCGGCGCCGTATCGAAGGCTCACCGATGCAGAGATACGAACAAAAAAAGAGAAAGGGTTGTGTTACCGATGCGACGGAAAGTACTCTTTTAGGCACCGTTGTCCCAACCGAGAATTGCAAGTGCTCCTTGTGCTTGAAAAAGAAGAGGTTGCAGAGGAACAAGAAGAAGGAGCAGAGCCTGGGGATGATGAAGAAGTGGTGGAGCTGTCCCTTAACTCGGTGGTTGGACTCACCTCACCAAAGACCATGAAACTTAAAGGAGTGCTGCGGGGAAAAGAGGTAACAGTTTTAATAGATAGTGGTGCCACGTATAATTTCATTTCTGTCGATTTGGTGAGAAAAATGGAGTTAACGGTGGATAAAATCGGTGATTACGGGGTGGTCATGGGGACTGGATTATCGGTTAAAGGGGAGGGCGTTTGCAGGGGAATTGTGGTTTCCCTGCAAGATATAGAGATAGTGGAGGATTTTCTGCCCCTAGAGCTAGGAAGTTCAGACATAATTCTGGGAATTCAGTGGCTAGAGACCTTAGGGGTTATGACGGTGAATTGGAGAAGTTTGACTATGAAATTCATGGTGGGAAACCGACAAGTGACATTGAAAGGAGACCCTGGAATGAATAGGACCTCAGTGTCCTTAAAAGCTTTGCAGAAGGCTTTTAACAAAGAAGGGCAGAGGATTTGGCTTGAATGGAACCACGTGGAATTGGGTACCTTAGAAAGTCATTGCAAAATACCTGAAGAATTAACAGGGGTGCTTGACCGGAGAGCATTAGTTTTTGAAATGCCCGCCGAATTGCCTCCGGAGCGCGCGAAGGATCATGCGATCGTGCTTAAAATAGGAACTTCTCTGATTAAAAAGGAAGAGATTGAGAAATTAGTCGGGAAAATGTTGGCTGCAGGGATTATTCGACCTAGTGTGAGTCCATATTCCAGCCCCGTGCTTTTGGTCAAAAAGAAAGACGGGAGTTGGCGCTTTTGCGTGGACTATCGAGCTTTAAATAAGGAGACGGTGCCAGATCGTTTTCCTATTCCTATCATTGACGAACTACTCGACGAGCTTCATGAAGCGACCATTTTTTCCAAGATAGACCTTAAGTCAGGTTACCATCAAATTAGAGTCAAACCAGAGGATGGACCAAAAACCGCTTTTCGCACACATGAGGGACATTATGAGTTCTTAGTGATGCCATTTGGGCTCACAAATGCTCCCGCAACGTTCCAATCACTTATGAATGAGGTGTTGCGAGCATTCATCCGTAAGTTTGTCTTAGTTTTCTTTGATGACATACTTGTCTATAGCCGGACATTGGAGGAACATATACATCATTTGGACCAAGTGTTGGCGGTTTTACAGCAGCACAATCTTTTCGCTAATGCGAAGAAGTGCAATTTTGGCCAGCAGTCATTGGAATACTTGGGACACATTGTCTCGAGTAAGGGCGTGTCAGCCGACCAAACCAAGATTGACGCGATGTTGAATTGGCCCTTTTCGACTACGCTGCGTGATTTATGCGGGTTTTGGGGGTTGACAGGGTATTACAGAAAGTTTGTTGCTAGGTATAGTCAAATAGCGGGACCTTTGACAAATTTACTCCGGAAGGATGGTTTTCATTGGACGGAGGATGCGGAAAGGGCTTTTGCTTGCTTAAAAAGTGCTATGTCTTTTGTGCCGGTTCTAGCTCTTCCTGACTTCACAAGACCTTTTGTGCTAGAAACGAATGCTTCTGGATTTGGCGTGGGTGCGGTGTTATTACTCGGGGAGAAGATGAGCTGGCATGTTCAGTGGCTGAGCTGGCCATTTTCGGGGGAAGTTAGATTGTTTGTTAAGGGGAGTTAGTTACTGAATATAAGAATTCTATAAATAAGTGTAGTCAAGGCTAGGAGAGGCATTCGATCATTTTCTTATAAACTTCTTAGACAAGTTGTTAGGGAGTGCAAGGGGTCACTCGAACACCCCTATACATATTCTCATTTTCAATCCCTAGATTTTGTACATTTCCGCCATTAATAATAGCATTCAAGAGTAAGATTGAGTTTGTGTGCATAATTCTTGTATAATTACATTCTAATTGTTCTGCGATTGCGATTGTCGGTGAGCTTATCATTTTTTTCAAATAAAAAGCTTTTTTAATTAAACATTTTACTTTGAAATAAGAAAAAAAAAACCTCTTTTATTTAGAGCTCCTTTTTGGGATTTAATCAAACTTTCTATTCTTCTCTTTTTTTTCTCTCGATCATACCCCGATGCATATTTTTTATTAGACATGGTTATTCTTAACTTAGATATGTTTAAAAAACAAACCAACACAAAACAACAAAAATAAAAAATAAAATAGCTAATATAACATTATATAAAAAAGTAATACTTAGCGAGTAAAGAAGAAATGAGTAAGAAAGATATTTAACCTAGAGATTTATTGAGAAGATACATAGTAGCAATTGTAACCTTGTGAAGATCTTAAAGAAAAGATTTTTGTTTTGAGATTGAAGAGATACCATGTGAAGAAGAATAGCTGTATTTTTTTTTAATTTTTTTAGACAAAGATAAAACGTAAGAACAGGAAAGGGGAGTAGAGTGACGATTGAGTTTTTTTTTTTTTTTATAATTTTTTTCTTTTTTCTTTTTTCTATAAGTCTCTTCAGTTTCTTTTTTCTTTAATGTTTTTCCTTAATACAAATACATATGTTGGGATACTCCCAATTCCTAAAAATCTCACTAACAGCCCGGAAACTTAAAGAGAGAGAGGGGAAAAAAAAAAAAGAAGCTTTCCAGTAAATAAGGAGATGAAAATTGTCAAAAAAAAAAAAAAGGAGAGGACTATAATAAATAACAAATTTCATTTTTAAAATATGATAGTGATTAGGCCTAACTTTTTTTAAAAAATTTGGGGCCTTCTTAAAAGTGGAATTTTTTGTATGAAAGGAATGGAATTTAATTTTTAAAATATGATAGTGGCTAAAATATAGGCCTATTTTTTGGAAAAAATAAGGCCTTAGCATGGACCTTTACCTGCCTAGCATGGACCCGGCTCTGCACAACCTCCATGATTTAGAAGAGAGAGGATGACGAATAGTGAATTTGAGATGTAGGATGTGGGACCGATCCTGATAAGCAATTTCAATATGAGAGACCTCTCATTAATTAAAGTATTTTTCATATTTGCCTATTGAACTCAGTAGAACTTTGACAACTTACTCCTTAAATTTTTAATTTTTATCAAACTTGCAAAACTGTTGCACTATGCCCACGTTTATCAATCTTTCTCTATTTTTTTTTAATCAAATTTAAGAGATCAAAAGCTAAAGCATTAAAAACTTTGTGTCACGATCTGAATGAATTTTCCGTCAATCTTGTTTTTTCGTCACCAATCTAGTAGAAGGAGAAAGTTGCCAATTTACTATTATTAAAAATTCAGGAGAAAGTTGCAAAACTCCACCAGTTCAGTTCAGGGTTAAATGTGCAAAACATGCACACCAACAACTATTCATTGAAACGATGCCGTTTTGAGCTTCTCATACGCTATCCGTTTGGGGCCGTTTCCTGGCACCATTTTAATTCATCTACAGTAATAAATTGCCGTAGATTTTGAGTGGTGGCAGCGGAACCACGAGCCCCCTGGATGGACGACACGTGTCCCCCTTAGTATCGTTTTCCTTTTGAACTCAAACCAGTCTACTTGGGGCAAAAATGGCTTCCTCTCTGCAACTCCCTACGTCTGCTTTTGAACTCTCCACAAGGATTTGTCGTCGCAGAAGAACAATTCGCCGCCCGCAATCCAATCTCCAAAACGGAGGAGAGAATCGGCCTCATCGTCGCAGGTATAATTCTTCTCTTTGGTTGCCGAGAAATCATAAGAATGTGAAAATTGGAATTTCAATCGTTTGGTTTAATTTTGGTCTCGTTTTGTTTTGAGTTTTCGGTTTAGGTGTGATGAAGACGAGAATGTGATACTGGTGGAGAGATACGGCAATGGTACTGCTAAGAGGTTCTTACTTGGAAACTTTTTTCTTTCTTTTTCTCTCCTTTTTTTTTTATTCATCTACTGTTTGTAATGTTCAATTCTTGAGCTCTTTCATTTCAACTGTGGTTTCTGGAGCAGGTTTGTTGTGGATGATGACTTGCAATTACGAACTTTTCTTGAGGAACATAGTCATAGACCAATATCTAAAAACTCAGAAAGATCAGAATTCTCCAACACATTTTTGGATTGGATTCCGGATATTATCAGAGACTTTGTTTTACCTGCAGGGTTCCCAGGTGACTAAACATCGTTTCTTTTCCATGTCCTTTTTTTAAATAATAAAAAAAGAAATTCTATCCTCTGTTTTAAAATTAGTTGGATGAGTTTAGACATTATTATATGTGGATAACTTTTCCAAACAGAAAAAGGGCTGATAAAAAATGTGGTCTATGAGTAAATTCTTGAGTTAAATGGAGCCTAAGGCCAACTGCAGATCGACCTGGTATTAGTTTTCCAAAATCTTTGTGCTATGAAAGGGGCTTTTTAGGGCAGTTGTTTCTTTGATCAATAGAGAGAGGAATGAGACATCTTGTAGGACGATTTAAGAGGTGTAAGATCATCTTGAACACTTTATATAGTGAAAATCTGCAGTGAAGAAAATGGACGTGGCTCTCACATCAACTGTGAACCACTATAAATCTTATGTCTGCTTCGGTTATCATTTTCTTTGCCTTATTATTGCTCTCGTGTATTGGGGATTAGGGTCTAATTCCTAACAAAATTTACCACAAAAAGTGAAAAAGATTATATTTGGCCTGTGACTAAAATCTTGTTTTTAGTAATTTGGTTTAGTCAGATACCAAAGCTTAGTCGTCTTACTGTTCAAGTTCTTGCTGTTCTTCATGTCTGATGCAGGATCCGTGTCAGATGATTATTTGCAGTACATGTTGTTACAGTTTCCTACCAATGTTACTGCATGGATATGTCACACATTGGTCACGTCGAGTCTCTTAAAGGTTGGTTAATAACTGTGGTCCGTAACTTTAAATTGTCTAGCTTGACATCCTAGTTTCACTACTTGAATATCTGAAAAAAATGTGGGATTAAACATCACATTCAGATAATAGAGATTTAGTTTCAGAACTTACTTATCCATTAATTCGCAGTACTATTTTATTCACAGTTCTGCTTATTGTGTGCTACTTGTAGGCTGTTGGTGTTGGCTTATTCTCAGGAAGTACTGCGGCTGCTTCTGCTGCTGCCATCAGGTGAACTTTTATTTTTGCTTTCTGTACATGTATCCTTGATCCGTTATAATTTGCAGCTCTAGTTTCCTAGTCTACTCAGTGTAAGCCTCGGATCTTACCACGATTAAAATATGGGACATCCCTTATGAATGTTTTATTTTCAGAACTTATTCCAAAGTGTTATAGGGATTTAAAATTTGCATTACCACCTCAAACTAGCCTGTCCCTGGATTGAACTTTAGGTTATAAGATTGTTTCTGCAGATGGGTATCAAAGGATGGCATTGGAGCTGTTGGGCGCTTATTCATCGGTCTGCCACTTTCAGCTAAAGGAACATAAGGCTAAACTGCTGAGGCTTTTCAGTGACTGTTGCTCTGTTTTACAGGTGGCCGATTTGGAAATCTCTTTGATGATGATCCAAAACAATGGCGTTTGTATGCTGACTTTATTGGAAGTGCCGGAAGGTTGTCTATCAAGCTTTTTGTTTGATGATGACAGATAAATTAAATCATAATAGAAGTAACGCGCCATCTTCCTTGCTAATTTCTTGTGCAGCATTTTTGATCTTGCAACGCCACTATATCCTGCCTATTTCCTGCCACTGGCATCCATTGGGAATCTTGCAAAGGCATTATATACTCAGCACAAATAGTCTCTCTTTTTATTTATTTTTATTTTATTTGAATTTTATGACTATAAGTGCAACATTATTATCCATCATTTTGTAGTGAATAAGATATCTATATTTTGAAACTATAAACTTTTTTTAGTATAACAAGCTTCGTATTCAAGCAGGCTGTGGCAAGAGGGCTGAAAGATCCTTCATTTCGCGTGATACAAAATCATTTTGCAATCTCAGGAAATCTGGGAGAGGTGGCTGCAAAGGTATATTCTTAATACATCTCTGAGCATGATGGTAGTCTTCAACGATGTTTATGTCAGCTCAGTTGTCTCATGAAGACGCCTTTTTGTTTATTTTGAACTTTGAGATTGGGAAAAAAGAATTTGTATCCTACTATTAAATCCATGTTATTTTTTTTCACCATTCCCTGCCCACAAGTTTGTCCAGTGGCTCCACTCATCTCAACAAGGCTTAATGTCAAGCCCTTGAGTTGTTTTATAGATCAATGGTGCTGATGAGTAGAGTGAGGGTAACAATTTCCGTAGTAATTGTGTTAGGATCCTAGTTGAGTCCCACATTGCTAAAATATAGGCTTAGCATGTGGATTTATAACCACTTGGGCACCCTCTCCCTACAGGCTAGCTCTTGGGGATGAGTTCTACCAAAGGGTTATAACAATTAGTATCAGAGCATGCCCCACCTCGGGCTTACGTTGCGGAAGGGGCGACCTGGGGAGGGGCGACCTGGAAAGGCCAGAATGAGCCATCCAGAGTGGGCCGCCGTGGACGTCGGTGTCAGAAGCGTGGTGATATGTTAGGATCCTAGTTGAGTCCCACATTTTTTAAGTATGGGCTTAGCATGTGGGTTTATAACCACTTGGGCACCCTCTCCCTACAAGCTAACTTTTGGGGATGAGTTCTACCCAAGGGTTGTAACAAATTGGTTGATTGAAAATTATTGAATTATGTACATTAATTAATTAATTAATTAGGAGATATCGCATATCTTTCCTAGTTTAGGGGGCAGTTCCTATTTTTTAGGAAAGATCCTAGGAATATCTTGAGGATAGTTTCTCTATCCTATTAGGGTTCCTAGTTTTCCGATTCTGTTAGCCACGGGACCTAGGTCTTTTGTAACCTATTTATACTCCGGTTTTGTACCAATTAAATCAAGAAAGGAGTTATATTTTTCCTCAGAAACTTACATGGTATCAGAGCCTGGTTTAGGACTTTATCTCTGTCCGCCATGGCTAAGAATCCAAAAAACCTTCCTTCAACCCAAACCGTACCCTCTGCCTCTTCTAATAATGTTGATTTCAACCCTAATGCTTCCATTCAAATTACTACCGTACGATTGAATGGAAGGAATTTTCTAGAATGGGCCCAATCAATAAAACTAGCCATAGATGGCCGAGGAAAACTAGGGTTTCTTACAGGGGAGGAACCAAAGCCGAAGGATTCTGATCCTTCATTCCGAAAGTGGAGGTCTAAAAATTCACTCATCACTACATGGCTTCTCAATTCCATGGAGGAATCAATCCGGAAGGCATATCTGTTCATGTCAGCCCAAGAAGTATGGGAGGCCGTGCGTGAAACCTACTCGGACCTGGAAAATTTTTCACAAGCCTTTGAATTGAAGACTCGGCTGTGGAATTCCAAGCAGGGGGAGGCAGATATCACTACGTATTACAACAGGATGTTGGCACTTTGGTAGGACTTAGACCTCTGCTATAATGACAAATGGGAGAATCCCAAAGACCTTGCTAGGTTTAAAAAAAGGGAAGAAATTGATCGTGTTTTTATGTTTTTAGCAGGGGTTAATGCAGGATTTGACGATGTTAAAGGGCGTGTTCTAGGCAGACGTCCTCTTCCTACAATCCGTGAAGTTTTTTCTGAACTTAGGCAGGAAGAAGGACGAAAGAGAGTCATGACTGGTTCATTCTTGCCACCAGCAGAGCCTAAAAATTCAGCCTTAGCAGTCCGTGGCAATGAAGGCGACCCAGATAAGAAAAAGAAGCCGTGGTGTGACCACTGCAAACGGCACTGGCACACCAAAGATTCCTGCTGGAAGCTTCATGGGAAACCACCTAATTGGCAGCCAAATTGGAAGAAGAAACAGGAGGGAGGCAAGGCGTTAAACATTGTGACTGAGACTACTCTAGAGCCACCATCTACCTCGGTATAGCCTCCATTCACCAAGGAACAAATTGAGCATCTTCTAAAACTCTTTAAGTCTTCACAAATTTCTAATTCTCTTTCTACCTCTTATGCTCACCAAGGTAATCAAGCTCCTTCTACCCTCACTTCCTCAAATATTTCTGGCCCATGGATCATAGATTCTGGTGCCACAGATCATATGACCAGTTGTTCCCATTTATTTTCCACTTTGTGCAGGAAATAAAAAAATTCAAGTGGCTGATGGTTCGTTTTCAGCCATAGCAGGGACGGGTTCCATCAAAATTTCTCCATGTTTAACACTAAAAGATGTGTTACATGTTCCAAAATTGTCATGCAATTTACTGTCAGTCAGTAAATTAACTCTTGACCAAAACTGTCATGCTAATTTCTTTCCATCTTACTGTGAATTTCAGGACATGGCCTCGGGGAAGATGATTGGCAATGCTAAATTAAGTGGACTTTACTACTTTGACGATGGATCACTTCCTAAAGATTATGTTTCAAATACTTGCTTGGGTGTTATTTCTAGTTCTAGTAAGAATGACATTATGCTTTGGCATTTTAGGCTTGGTCATCCAAATTTTTATTATTTAAAACATTTGTTTCCTAGTTTATTCTCAAATAAAGATCCATCTCTTTTTCAATGCAAAATTTGTGCTTTAGCAAAAATGCATCGATCTCCATATATCCCTCGTCCATATGTTCCATCCCAACCTTTTTCTCTTATGCATAGTGATATATGGGGACCTTCAAGAATATCAACTCCTTCGGGAAAACGATGGTTTGTTACCTTTATAGATGATCACACAAGAATGACTTGGGTTTACTTGATGACACAAAAATCTGAGGTGGAACACATTTTTAAAACGTTTTATAACATGATTTACACTCAATTTGAAACAAAAATCAAAGTTTTAAGAAGTGACAATGGTCGTGAATATTTCACAAAACATTTGAGTGTTTTTTTCTCACAAAATGGCATTTTTCAGCAAAGCTCTTGTGTTGACACGCCTCAACAAAATGGCATTGCCGAAAGGAAGAATAAGCACCTATTAGAAGTGGCTCGGGCATTGTTATTTACACATAAAGTACCAAAAATTTGTTGGGGAGATGCAGTTTTAACAGCAACTTTTTTGATAAATAGAATGCCTTCGAAAGTTTTGAATTTTGCCACTCCTATAAGTGAATTTTCCAAAATTCTTCCCCAAACAGAAATTCAATCAACTCTGCCACTGAAAACGTTTGGGTGCACTGTTTATATCCACAATAAAGATGTAAACTTAGGAAAACTTGATCCTAGAGGAACTAAGTGTGTCTTCTTAGGCTACTCTCCAAGTAAAAAAGGATATAAGTGTTATGATCCCAAAAAAAGAAAATATTTTGTCTCCTTTGATGTGCAATTTTTTGAAAAACAATCATTTTTTCAGCCTCATCTTCAGGGGGAGCACACACAGGCGATACGGCTTTAGGGGGAGATGAAAAGATAGTCTTTGACTTTCATGATCAAGGTGAATCTTTTTTTGAAAATTTTTCATCAGAATTTGCCCTTCAAAATTCGGATTTTTTGCAAAACTTAAATAATTCCGAAAATTCTGAAGAGAATCATCAAGAGAATAACTCTGCAGATGTTTTAAATAATGAAAATTTGGCTCCTTCCAGTGTTAGTCCAATTAGAACAAGAAATAACACTGAAAACAGGTTTGGGAAAGTTTTCTCAAGGAGAGAACCAAAGTCAAGTGGATTAACCAATAACTTACAGCATGGTCAAGAACCAACCTCGATACCAAGTCCAGAAGTTTCAGGTTTGAGTCCAATCGCTGAAAATTTCTCAAATGAGCTTGATGTACCTATTGCACTAAGAAAAGGAACTAGAGAATGCACTAGGCGTCCTCTATATCCCATGTCCCATTTTGTTTCTTATAAAAAGCTATCTCCGTGTTTCCTTGCCTTTGTTACTCAACTCTCACATGTGGAAATTCCGAAGAGTATTAGAGATGCATTTCAGGTACCCGAATGGAAAGCGGCTGTTTTAGAGGAGATGAGGGCTCTGGAGAAGAATCAAACATGGGAGGTTATAAATTTGCCAAAGGAGAAGAAAACTATTGGGTGCAAATGGGTATTCACGGTCAAGTTCAAATCTGATGGATCACTGGAAGGGTATAAAGCACGTCTAGTGGCCAAAGGTTTCACTCAAACCTATGGCATAGATTACTCTGAGACTTTTGCACCAGTAGCTAAACTAAATACTGTACGGGTTCTTCTCTCAATCGTGGTAAACTTGGACTGGCAGTTGCAACAGTTAGATGTCAAGAATGCATTCTTAAATGGAGATTTAGAAGAAGAGGTTTTTATGGATCCTCCACCCGGTTTTGAAGATAAGTTTGGTTCAAAGGTGTGCAAACTGAGGAAATCTCTCTATGGGCTAAAACAATGACCACGAGCATGGTTTGAGAAATTCACAAGCTCGGTAAAAAGACAAGGTTATTCTCAAGCTCAGGCAGATCACACACTCTTCTTTAGAAGATCAAAGGAAGGAAGAATTGCCATCCTTATTGTCTATGTGGATGACATTATCTTGACAGGAGATGATATTCTAGAAACGACCCGATTGAAAAGGTGCTTGGCAGATGAATTTGAGATCAAAGACCTCGGGAACCTAAAATATTTCTTAGGTATGGAGATAGCAAGATCTAAAGAAGGAATAATGGTCAGCCAAAGGAAGTATGTACTTGATCTTCTCGAAGATACTGGAATGAGTGGGTGCAAACCAGTTGATACTCCTATTGATCCCAATGTAAAACTCGGGATTAGTGAGGGTGACAGGGTTGATACTACGAGATATCAGAAGTTGGTTGGAAGGTTGATTTACTTATCACACATTAGACCAGACATAGCTTTTGCCGTGAGTATGATAAGCCAATTTATGCACTCTCCTCAGAAAATTCATATGGAAGCTGTCTATCGAATCCTTAGATATCTCAAGGGTTCTCCAGGAAAAGGATTAATGTTCAGAAAACATGACAACCGAACAATTGAAGCCTATACAGAGCTGATTGGGCTGGATCCGTGACTGACAGGAGGTCTACAACTGGATACTGTTGCTTTGTGTGGGGAAACCTAGTTACATGGAGAAGCAAAAAGCAAAGTGTTGTTGCCCGTAGCAGTGCAGAGGCAGAATTTCGAGCAATGGTTAATGGGCTATGTGAGTTAATTTGGCTGCAGCGGATTATAGGAGATCTTCAACTAACAATAGAAGCTCCAATGAAGCTTTACAGTGACAACAAGGCTGCCATTAGCATTGCTAATAACCCTGTTGAACACGATCGCACCAAACATGTGGAGATAGATCGGCATTTCATCAAAGAAAAAATGGAATCCGGAACTGTGTGTTTACCCTTCTTGCCAACATCTCAACAGATAGCTGACATTTTAACCAAGGGGTTATTTAGACCAGGGTTTGATTCTTGTATTAGCAAGTTGTGTTTAAAAGATATCTATGACCCAACTTGAGGGGGAGTATTGAATTATGTACATTAATTAATTAATTAATTAGGAGATATTGTTTAAGTTAGGAGATATCGCATATCTTTCTTAGTTTAGGGGGCAGTTCCTATTTTTTAGGAAAGATCCTAAGAATATCTTGAGGATAGTTTCTCTATCCTATTGGGGTTCCTAGTTTCCCGATTCTGTTAGCCACGGGACCTAGGTCTTTTGTAACCTATATATACTCCGGTTTTGTACCAATTAAATCAAGAAATGAGTTATATTTTTCCTCAGAAACTTACAAAAATTTACAGTTTACAATGATTTTTCATATATTATTTATTACGAAGCTGGAAAATTCAGTTGGCTGGCTTGGATGATGTATTAGTGAGCTTATTGTTGCTGCCCACCTAAGATTAGAATGTTGTACAGTATGTGTTTTGTCCTGAATTAGCCTGGCTTTCCAATATATATATATATATATATAGTGGAGTAACTTTGGTTTAGTTGTTTATCACATTAAGAAATTATGTGTCTTAGTTTGGCGAAGTCATAAATAGTTCAGAAAATCATTTAAAGTTCTGATAATCTAGTTTCTGATTTACATGTTGATCATTACCTACCCATTTTCAATCTTATGTAACCTCTTCTTGAAGAGAACTAATTACCTCATAACTTCACAATTAATTGATATAAGATTTCAGGAGGAAGTTTGGGAAGTAGCTGCTCAGCTGCTTGGCCTTGCTTTGGGCATACTTATACTGGTATCTTGCTTGGAACTTTTAGGAATAATGTATTTTCATCACAGAACAGCCTTTTGCTAACAGACAACATTCTTGATGTGTCATCTTAATGATTTTGCAATAATGAATGCAGGATACACCCAGCCTTGTACGGGCATACCCTGTTCTAGCTCTTACATGGTTTGGGATGAGGCTTCTGCACCTTTGGCTACGTTATCAATCACTTTCAGTTCTACAGTTTAACATAGTAAGAAGATTGTAAAACGAATTCCTCTTCCTATGACATTCCACTTATTCTGTCTGTGACATGAAAGACAATACAATGTGGAAAAACTTATTTAAGGTTAAAGTAGGTGAATGGAATGAATCAGTTTCTGTGTGCTATATCGAGGTCATTTTATCTGAGTATTGACTTTATATACTCGCATATTCTGTGAATTAAAATAATAATCGTAAGGAACCTAGTTAATCACAGCCCAACACACAACAGTCACTCACACAGATGCACAACGAGAAGAAATTAAAAGGAATCAGGGTAGCTTTTATTGATTCAACCTGCAAACAACGATTACAGTAGACAATCTAACAAGATAAACCCGGAGATTTTGAGTACTCCGGAACTCCTAGCCACCGACAGTGGGAACAGCACAGAGACAATCAAGAGAATTCAACTGCCTTGCCCTAACCTTTTCCTACCCCCCAAATTCCCTGATTCCTACTTGCCTTTGCCACGTCACCTGTCTAGCCACTTTCTAAAATTACTCCTTGGCCCCCAACTCTAGTCTTTTTGTCCCTCTTACCTCTCCTAGTGTAAACGTTTTTCAGTACGCATTTGACAATACCCCCCCCCCCTCTCGAGATCAACCTTGTCCCTAGAAGTCAGGAAATTGGCGAGGAATTGAGTCTAGTGGCTCCCAAGTAGCCTCCCCCTCCGGCAGCCCCTCCCATTGAATGAGGAGGTCCAAGTCAGAAGGTTCTCCAACGTGAGAATAACGTGCTTGCAACATGGCTGCTGGTCGAACCAAGAGCTCGAGCTCCTCTGTAAGCTGTGACGGCAGGGGCTGACTTGCTAGAGTGTCCCCCGAAAAGCCTTGAGCTGCGAAACATGGAAGACCGGGTAGATACGTGCGTCTTTCGGAAGCAGGAGCCGGTATGCAACGGTACCAATCCTCTCGGCAATCTCGAATGGACCATAGTAGCGAGGAGCCAACTTCTCATTACGCTTCTTGTCTCCAAACACCGTTAATATGTCTCCAAACAGCGGTTGACCCGCTCGGTTTGGCCATCGGACTCGGGGTGATAGGCTGAGCTTGTGTGCAACTGAGTTCCTTGGAGTTTGAAGAGCTCTCTCCAAAATGAACTCATAAAGATAGGATCACGATCGCTCACAATTGAACGAGGAACCCGTGAAGCCGAACTATATCACGTACGAACAACTCTGCCACAGACTTCACAGTGAATGGATGAGCAAGGGGGCAAAAATGTGCAAACTTGGACAACCGATCCACCACAACTAGGATTGTGTCCTGCCCCTCCGATTTAGGGAGGCCGCCTATGAAATCCATGGAAATGTCCTCCCAAATCCTATTAGGAATTGGAAGGGGTTGCAACAGCCCCGCCGGAAGCATAGCCTCGCTTTTGGCACTTTGGCAAACCTTGCACCGAGCCACATAGTCCCATATTTCCTCTTTCATGCCCGGCCAAAACACATTGCTTGACACCCGCTTATAAGTGCGAAAGAATCCCGAATGGCCACCAATCACTGAGTCGTGGAACTCGTGCAACAACCAAGGTATCCATGGTGAGGAATGCGGTAAAACCACCCGTCCTTTATAGAGCAACAACCCCTCCTTCTCACTGTATCCATCCCGAACTTGCTCCCCGGCCATTAATTTTGCTAGCAACCCCGAACACTGGTCATCCCCCCGCTGCCCCCTTCAATGTCCCCCACATCCAACAGCTGTGGAATGGAAATGGCTGTAAAAGTAATGGGCTGCTCATCACCCCTTCTAGACAACGCATCCGCCACTCTATTAGTGGCTCCCGGTTTGAACTACACTTCAAAATCATACCCAAGAAGCTTGGTAACCCATCGCAATTGCTCCGGTGGAAGCACTCGCTGATCCAATAGGTACTGGAGACTTTGTTGGTCGGAGCGGACCACAAAGCGTCGTCCCAGCAAGTAGTGACGCCACTTTTGTATGGCAAACACCACTGCCATCAACTCCCTCTCATAAACCGACTTCAGCCTACTTGTCTCCGATAGTGCTTTGCTAAAAAAAGCAATGGGCCGGCCCTCTTGCATAAGGACAGCCCCTAGGCCAGCCCCCGATGCATCGGTCTCAATCACAAAGGTCTTGCTAAAGTCTGGCATAGCCAACACCGGTAATGTGGTCATGGCCCTCTTAAGGGACGCAAAAGCTCCTACCGCCTCTTCCTCCCAACCGAAACCACCTCGCTTGAGCAAATTGGTCAAGGGCTGTGCAATCTCACCGTAGCCCCGCACAAACCGACGATAGTAACCGGTCAAACCAAGAAACCCCCGCAGGTCTCGGACACTCTTAGGAGTCGGCCAAGAGTTAATGGCGGCCACTTTCGAAGCGTCCGGCGCAACCCCCTTGCCCGAAATGATGTAGCCGAGATACTCCAAGCTATGGCGGCCAAACGCACATTTCTTCAAGTTAGCAAACAGCTTCTCTCGCTTCAACACCTCTAATACCTTAACCAAATGGCCCTGATGCTCTTCCATGGTCCGACTATATACTAAGATGTCATCAAAAAACAGCAAGACAAGTCGGCGTTGGAATGGGCGGAAGATCGAGTTCATAAGGGCTTGAAACGTCGCCGGTGCATTAGTAAGGCCAAAAGGCATCACCAAGAACTCATAGTGGCCCTCGTGTGTCCGAAAGGCGGTTTTCTCTACATCGTCTTCATGAACCCGTATTTGGTGGTACCCCGCTCTCAAATCCAACTTAGAAAACACCTTCGCTCTGTGGAGCTCATCTAGTAACTCATCGATGACTGAAATCGGAAATTTATCCGGCACGGTCTATTGATTCAAAGTCCGGTAATCGACACAGAAGCGCCAACTCCCATCCTTCTTCTTCACTAAGATTACCGAACTAGAGAATAGGCCGCTACTAGGTCGAATGATCCCGGAAGAAATCATGTCGGCCACCAATCTCTCAATCTCCCCTTTTTGGAAGTGCAGATAGCGGTAAGGCCGAATGTTAGGAGGATCAGCCCCGTCCTTCAATACAATCCGGTGGTCGCGCGCCCGTTTTGGGGGCAGCCCTTTAATTTCCTCAAAAATATCCCTGAACCCCTCTATGACATCCTGCAAATCCCCCGGTACGATTACTGATTGCTTACCATCCTTCCGCCCTACCACCTCACAGAGTTCCAACAATACCCCCACTTGTCTGCCCCCTACCATTCGAGTCAGCGAACGAAAACTCACTGGCGTACAGCATAAAGCGGGATCCCTAATCCAACTCACCCAATTGTCCCTCACCTTGAATTTCATGGTGAACCGAGACCAATCTGCCCACACTTCTCCCAAGGTCCGCAACCATGTAACTCCCAAAACAATTTCCGTGCTTCCTAAATCACATAGGAAGAAATCTTCTACCACCGTGATCCCTTGTATGGACAACTCCATTCCCCTACATACTCCATGTTGCTTGAAACACATACCGTTGCCGACCTACACCCCGCATTTGGTCGAAATCACGTGGTAGTCCTAATTCTTTCACAATCGTCTCAAACACAAAGCAATGAGACGCCCTACTATCAATCAACACCACCACCACTCGGGAGCCAATTGTGCCTTTAACTTTCATAGTTTTTGCGGAATTAAATCTCATCATAGAGTTAAGGGAAAGGTCTACCTTCTCTTCTGATTGTTCAGTTTCGGAGTTCCCTTCCTCCTTTGGTTCACCTTCCCCATCCGACTCGTCCTCGGTGGCCAGCAATAATTGAAGTTGCTGCTTGCTCTTATGCCGATGCCCGGGGCTGTATTTTTCATCACACTTGAAACAAAGTCCTCTTGCCCTTCGTTGTTGCACTTCATCCTCAGACAAGCTCCTATAGCCACTCGCTCCTCCTCCCCCCGGACTATTGGAAGCAGATGCCGTGGCCCGTCCACGACCGATCTCCCTTCCCTCTCTTCCGGCATTGGATCGAAGGGAGCTCCCCACAAAAGGCCCGCGGCCACTAGGGGCCTCGCTGAACGAATATGACCGTCCCAAATCCCCAACGCGGCCGCTCAAAAAATCTTCCCATTCTTTCCACCGATTCATTCCGATCTTCGATCTGCTAGGCCATCTCCATAACTTCTTGGAGTGCCGTCGGCTTATGCATTTTGACCTCGACGCGCACATCTTCCCTAAGTCCATTTCGAAACACACCCTTGTAAAAAGCACTCGGCACGCACCGGTGCTAACAGCAGCTCAAAACGGTCTAGGTAGTCCGCCACTGACCCCACCTGTCTCAAGGCCATAAGTCTCTCCATCGGATCCCCCTCCTTAGCTCTACTAAACCTCTTCAAAATCGCTGCCTTCAAGTCCCACCATTCGCTGAACGGATCTTGAGAATCGGTCCATCTGAACCATTTCAAAGCTTGCCCTTCCATACACATGGAAGCCACCGCCACCTTATCTCGTTCCCGCACCTCATACACATCGAAATATTGCTCAGCTTGGAATAGCCACCCATAAGGGTCCTCGCCGGAAAAGCTCGGCATCTCCACTCTCCTTCCACGTATTTCCCCTATTTCCCGACCTTCCGGCATCTCGAGCCGCTGTCCCCGCTCCCAATCCCACTACTGTCCTCCCCTGGCCCGCCTAGGTTCATCCTCGTTCTCCTCCCAAACTTCCCCAACTCGACGGCTAGGTGCCCCGCCAACTCTTCCACCATTCCCCGCTACTCCAAGGTTGAAGTGGTTAACCCGTCGTGCCCCCATGGGTCCCCGATCGAGGCTGGGTTCCCGGTCTAGGCGTCCACCACTTTCTCTCGGAGGTTCCCTAACTGGGTCGGCATGGTGCTCCCAACCCAGATCCGGCGGCCAAATAGGACCACGCCTCCTTCCTCTCTCGTCCAGGCCGCGTCCAACCACCCCCGCTGCCTCGCGCGGCCGTCGTCCGACCTCCGGACCTCCATCCCATGGCGGCGCGACCTCGTTTGCGACTGGGTCGGCGACAATCAGACCTCCCCGTCGCAGATCGCCTGGATTCGGGCCATTTTGGTCACGCTGGAGCACTTACCCTTGCTCCGGCGGAGTTGGCCGGCGACCCATGAGATCTTCCAGCCGGCGCAGTACCTCGTGGACCCCGCCGATCTGATTTCTCCTTTCCTCCCTCAACCCATCGTTTTCCTCCCGGATCTACGGGATCTGCTCGGACGTTAGGGACTGCACCACCGTCAGCCCCTTCTCTGCCGCGACCAGCCTCTATGTCTCTGCCGGTTTGGGCACCATGGATCGTACAGCTTTGATACCAGTTTGTAAGGAACCTGGTTAATCGTAGCCCAACACACAACACTCACTCACACAGATGCACAACGAGAAGAAATTGAAAGGAATCAAGGTAGCTTTTATTGAATTCAACCGGCAAACAACGATTAATTACAGTAGACAATCTAACAAGATAAACCCGGAGATTTCGAGTACTCCGGAACTCCTAGCCACCGACGGTGGGAACAACACAGAGACAATCAAGAGAATTCGACTGCCTTGCCCTAACCTTTTCCTACCCCCCAAATACCCTGATTCATACTTGCCTTTGCCACGTCACCTGTCTAGCCACTTTCTTAAATTACTCCTTGGCCCCCAACTCTAGTCGTTTTGTCACTCTTACCTCTCCTAGTGTAAACGTTTTTCAGTACGGGTCTTACAATAATAATAAACACTAAGACAATAATAATGACTGCGTCTTTATTCTGTTAATTAATTATAAGTATGCGCCCCGCGCGCGTGCATTCGTTATACTTTTTATATGAAAATCTATAATTTCTTCTAACATTTAGTTGTATTTATTTATTACTCACCTAATAATTGAGTTTAATAAAATAGAAAAAAAAAATAGTAGAGCACATTTAAAGGAAAAAAAAAGAAGAAAAAAATCACATAATAAATTATTTATGGGTTACATATAAAATTAATTTTAAATAGAGTAAAGTGAAAAAAGATAATGGAAGTATTTGGTAAAAAGTAAAAATAGACAAAAGAAAGATTAGAAATAAGAAAATGTAAAAATAAAAACCAAAGAGAGAAATGAGAGGTTGACATGTGGCAAAAAGAGGAGCAACATCTTTGCCTCTTTTATATATGTTAGATTCATTGACGAACTCTTCTTTCTGTTCTATTTTCCTGACAGATAAATCTTAAGCGTGCCCGTATACTAGTAAAATCACATGTATTACATTCTACGGTTCCAGGTAGATTTCAAATTATTGTTTTTCATATGAAATAAAACAAAAATGTGACACCAATGAACACCCTTTTGACAGCTTCCTTACAGGATATGTTGATTGCAATAAGGAAGAAAATATATTATTGTGGCAAAGATTCATGAAGCCACGAATTGTTTTTGGCGTGCCTTTGGAAGAATTTATGGGTGCTGTTGCTGAGAGATCTGTTTCCACGGTAATCCTTAAAATTCCTTATTTTATTGGATATAAAGGGGGGAAAAAGGGAAATTTTGATGGAGCCGTCATGTACTTCATATTCAATTTCTGAAAGATAATAAAACCTGATGTGATACTATTTTGTTTGGATTCTTATTAATGCTTAGAGCACCATTGTTTTTCAAGGAAATTTTTTTTTTTATGTGAACATAATTGATGGGATTAAGGCTTGTTGTTGTTGTTGAATATAATTATCTGACCTCTTTTGGTATTACAAAATGCTTAAGAAGTAGATTTAAACTTGTATCCTGTAATTCTCGTTGTTATTACTATTCACTCTTGATTTACAGTTGAAGTCGCTTCTGAAACTATATGAGAAGGAGAAATATATTCTTGTGGTGAACCAACAAGAAAGGGACTTTGAGGTCTTTGTTTCATTCAAGGTATAAAATACATCATTTGCAGCAACTGTAGAAACCAACTATTCTTATCTCTATTAATCTTCGTGTCCTGAGTGCCAATGCAGGTCGGGGCGAGTAGTGTCTCGGTCTTGCGAAGTGTGTGGCAGACTTATTGGCTACATGAGAACTGGAACCGTCAAGATAATGCCTTGGACCAGATAGCACGCAGCCTGTCAAAGATGGAAGATAGCTATGAGGACTTCATCCAACAGCTAAATCAGACTGGATGGGATATAAATGAAATCAAACTTAAAGTTCCTAAGGAAGTCTTAATCTACCAAATGGATCCTGTTTGATTGCTCGAAAGTCTTTCAAAATGTCTTTGTGATCGGTTTGGGACTGAGTTTTTACTCCGTGCCTTTTGAAAGGTGGTCCGATATGGCTGGATCGATACAGATTGCAAAGATACTAACCATCGAAGTGCTGCTATCAGTACGGATTCCCATGTGCCAGTGTTCAACAATGTAGTAGCTGGGCTTGCAAGGTTATTTGGGATGATAATGATCTGCTTACAAGGACTTGGGCATTGCATTCATGAAGAGTTGGTTGTAGTAGTTTCTGACTTTTAAATGGACTTTTGCATTACCATTAACGGCATTTATGTTTTGCCAATTTGGATTGTACCCCTTAACAGAAGAAGAGGTGTCCAACGAGAGGAAAAGAAAAGGATTTGTCCTTTTTAATTCACAGGTCTACGACTCTACTCTCCCAAAGGATTCTTATCTTGGGAAGACAAAACATCATGGATTTGAATGCCATTTTCTGTTTAAAGAAATGTACCTAAAACTGAAATGCTAGAATAATCATTTTTTCCCTTTTTTTGGGTAGCTATTATAATGATTTTTAACTTTAAGAGTTAATTACAAATTGTCACATAGAAATATATGGGTTTTAGCAGCCCTGTGATCAAACTAGACTCGCCAAAGGAAAATCAGCTAGAAAAGAAGGCAAGGCTTTGTTCTCATATTTTTGCATTTTTTTTCCCTGAAACTGGAAATGTTATAATTACTTTAAATAAATATTGATTTATGATCTACAGATGTAAAAAATTATAAATAACAATAGTGGAGTTAGTGGCTCCAGCTCCATTGAGAAAGTTTTATATGACTGCATTCTTTGATAATCTAAACTAGTAAGATTAATTTGCATAATCATTTCCTACCAAGAAAAAAAGAACAAAAAAAACGAAGGTTAATTTCATGTCTTCCAAACTATGGCGGACCGGACACAAAATGTTGTTCTTTCTCTTGCATTATTCTGCCACATTTTTAGTCCATAAATTCTAAACATTTGTCTCAATTTATTGCTCCTCTTGTCTTGTTCCATCAATTTATGGTAACAGAATATTTAAACTTTAAGAATATTTCTGAAGTTAATAATGTAAATGAATTAGTGAAATTCACACGCTTAAGAGTTGAAAACCAAAATTTTAAAAAAAAATTTATAGAAAATGTAATTATTCTACTTTCCTAAAAATAAATAAATAAACAAAAAACAATCTCGCGCCAAAAATATATGTGAAAATCAAACATAATCAAAGAGGACTTCTTCCTTAAACCCGCCCAAAACGTTCGTTCCCATTCTCTCTCTCTCTCTCTCATAAAATGTCTCTCTCTCTCTCATAAAATGTCTCTCTCTCTCCAACTCTCACTTCCCTCACTAATGGCGAACCCTCTCTTCCCTCGACCCAACCTCATTCCCCTCCCCCCAAACTCTCACGCGCGGCACCTCCTCCTCCCGCCTTGTCCTCACGCGCCTGTCCGCGTCTCCGTGCAGCGCGAAATCACAGAACAAGAAGCCGAGGAGAGAGGTGACATTGGGAACTTGAAGAAGCCTTTAGGGCTCCAAACCCCGTCGCCGGATGGGAAACAGTCCGACGATTCGTATCTCTTCTCGGCCGGTCTCCGGCGAGAGTCTCTGCCCAAGCACGTGGCGGTTATCATGGACGGGAACCGCCGCTGGGCCCGCCTCAGGGACTTGCCGGTGGATTCGCGCTACGAGGCGGGTCTCCGGTCACTGAGAGCGGTGGTTGAGCATTGTTGCAAATTAGGCATTGAGTTTCTCACCGTCTTCGCCTTCTCGATTGACATTTGGTTCCGTCCGAAAGTCAGTATCTTCTTCTTTCGTGTAATATCTCAGATTTAAGATTCTCTTTCGAAGCTTCTAGAATTAATTATTTATTTAGCAGTTAATAGTGCACCACAATGACGAATTCAAAGTAACAGGTTTGAAGTTTGATAGTGTAATCGTAGGGTTTTTTTTTTTTTTTTAAATCAATTGAAGTTTTGATAAGTGGACACATTACAAAGTTGGCCATATTGTCAATCGTTACTTTCTTTAAATCACTGTTGAAAATATATAACTCGATAGACAAATTGTAATCTCAATAATGCAGGTGGAAGTTGAGTTCCTGATGAGTCTATTCGAACAAGGAGTAAAAAATGAATTAGGAAGCTTTCTCCAGTAATCGTTGTGGAACTGATTGAGATTTTCTGGTTGTAGTTTGAAGAAGTAGTTTTTGTTAGTTTACATATGTATTTATTTCAACATTTATTTCGCAAATTAGAAAAATAGTCTTTGTGAAAATCCGATTTCACAAAAGAACCATTCTTATCTCAGATTATACAGTTGTCCTCTAATCCAGGATGAACCCAAGTGGTCATAGTTCAAAGGGATGAGATTTGTTAGCTTTTCTATGTGGAATTTAGGATTTTGCTTTTGGGATTACTGGCTAGAAACAATTGTAATGAAATGTACTTGATTGATTCACTAAACAGGGAAAACATCCGAGTTTCTATAATTGGGGATACGACTAAGCTCCCAAGTTCACTGCAGGAATTGATAGCCAATGTACAGGAAAGCACAAAGAATAATTCTCGTCTCCAACTGGTTGTTGCAGTGAGCTATAGTGGGCAGTATGACATTGTTCAAGCTTGCAGAAAGATTGCCATCAAAGTAACGGACGGTGTTCTCGCTCCTGACGATGTGACTGAGTCTCTGGTTGAAGAGGAACTTGTGACGAGTTGTACAAAGTTCCCCTACCCCGATCTGCTTTTACGGACTAGTGGTGAACTTAGGATTAGCAATTTCTTCTTGTGGCAGTTGGCATATACAGAACTGTTCTTTTCACCATCCCTCTGGCCTGATTTTGGAAAATTTGACTTTCTAGAGGCTTTACGAACCTTCCAATGTAGACAACGACGTTATGGAGTAAAGAGTATTGAGTAGTTAGTTATTTTTCTCTTTCTTTCTTGTTCTTTTGTGAAAGGAGGAACATAGAATAGTAACTATTGACGTCCACTAAGCAAGTTCCAATAACCACTTGAGTTTCTCATTGGGACATACAAGAGCTGACTCTGCAAACTGCCTTGGAGTTTTCTGAAAATTGTCTGAAGAAAGCTGCATCTTTCTCCTGGGAGAATTTGGGTACTGAAATATTACTTTCATGTTTATCTTGTTAACAATTTAAGACGAGCAAGCTCATCCGAAGATGCATGTACTTTTCTTGATATTACTTCAGTCTCCAGAGTGCAAGTGCTCTCTGTACCTAAGCCCGTGATAACAGCATCAGCTAAATTGCTGGGATGGAGTGAACTGCACCAAGCTTGCCAGATTGCTTCAAATGATATGTATAGTATCAGGTACACGCATTATGCTACACGACTACACCATTTTGACAGAAAAAGAAATGCTGAATAACATAATCTTTGTCCAATTGTTTACACATATTGTTACCAGATAGATACGCTCTTTTCAAATTATTAGTTGTTATCATGTAAGTCACATGTTTCAAATATGTTGCATCTCTTTCTTAGGATCCCATCGCATCCCCACCCTTCCCCTCTACTTTTCCATTATTCTTTCCTTCCCAATGATAAGACTAAGCCTTTGCTTAGGCAGGTTTTTGTTAGGAAGGGCAGGAGAGAATAAATGGTTGTGGGGATATATTAGTTGTTAGTTTGTTAGCAGTTAGGAAATAGAGAGTGTGAATAAGGGATGGATCGGTGGAGGGGAGTGAATAAATAGAAACAGAGAGCAAGTGTTAGGATAGGAAAGAACTGGAGTCTTGTTGAGGAAGTTTTGGCTTAGGCTAAACATGGGAGGTTTTGCAGTACCTCGAAGAACTGCTTTGTAATTCATTCTGGTGATTCAATAAAGATCATACTTTCTTTCTTCTTGATTCATTTCTGTTTGTAGAAATTACTCAGCTTTTATCATTTTGGTATCATAGCTATAATTCTAGGCGGTAATGGCGGGTAAGGAATCAGATGAGCGGTTTGAATCCGTAGAGAAGGAGATTAAGGAAGTTAGGGCTTTGATGGAAAAAGGGATCGGTGAGATAGAGAAGGGAATCGGGGAGGTTAAGGAGGAATTAACTCAGAATCTTACTGAGCTCTGTCGGCTAATGGAAGAACAGATGAAATTGTTCGCGGCCCGGAGAAGACAGGCGTTCCGACATCCGTGCTAGACGAAGATCGCCAGGTGTTTCCGACCGGGGTCGTGTATGGCAGAAATCATCAGGTTACGCGCGCGAAACGATGAGCGATTGACGGACCCTAGGGGTTTGCAGAATGTGACGTTATTGGCGGGAACTTTTGGTTTGCGTGCGCAAGGAGGAGATCGACCGGCGGACCCCAGGGTTTCGCGAGGTCTATGTCGTGAAGGGAGGGAGGACGAGCGTGACTTCCGAAGAGAGGTTCTGATGGGTGCCCAAGGGGAAAACGTGACTGGGTGTCGGGGTGAGGGGTGTGGCGTTTTCGTGGAATTTGAAAACCATGGATTTTGTGATTGGCGCTATGGTTTTGGTGGGGATGGTTATCGAGGAGTGAAAAGAGGAGGAATTCCTAATGTAGGAGTACGGTTCAAGGAGGGCTGGGATAGCAGAGGCGTACTTGAGGAGTTGCCGGTGAATGAGGAGTGGGCTGCTTACCGCTGGCAGCAGGTAGAGTGTCCAATTTTTAGCGGCGATGACCCCAACGGCTGGGTGTTTCGAATGGAGCACTTCTTTTCCATCAACTGTTGCTTAGAAAGGGAAAAATTGATCACTGTCGGCATAGCTTTAGAGGGAGACACCCTATCTTGGTTCTAGTGGCAGAATGGTCGCCGACCTTTTCACGGCTGGACAAACTTCAAATTGTCGCTTTTACAACGTTTCCATTATTCGCAGGAAGGAAATCTTTGTGAAAAGTTTTTGGTGATCCGACAAGAAGGAACAGTGGCGGAATATCGTAGGCAGTTTGAGGTTTCTACAGCTCCGCTTCAAGATGTTCCGGAAGAAATTTTGAAAGGAATCTTTGCAAGAAGAATGAGTTGCTTCGTCGAGAGGTCTCGGGAACAAGAATGTCAAGACCACAATTTTCTAGTGGTCCAAGGGCTTAATTCACTACATTTCTTGCTAGGACATTGCCGGGAGTAGAGCGTCAACCGCGAGCTCCAGCCACTTTGGACAAAACAGCAACTCAAAAGCGAGACTTTCCTTTTCACAAGTTGTCGGATTCCGAGTTACAAGAGAAGAAAGATAAGGAGTTGTGTTTTAGGTGCGATGAGAAGTTCACTTTGGGGCATCGATGTAAGAGGAAAGAGCTCCGAATCATGTTGGTTAGCGATGATGATGCAACGGAGTGTGAAGAGGAAGATCTTGACATGCCTAAGGCCGTTGGGAGGAAGGGTAGCCCGAGCTTATTGAGTTGTCCTTGAATTCCGTGGTTGGGCTTTCGACACCGAAGACTATGAAGCTTCATGGAATGATTGCTCAAAATGAGGATTGTTCTAATCGATTCCGGCGCAACTCACAACTTCGTTTCTTTAAGTCTTGTTGAGAAATTGTCTATACCAATTTTTCCCACTGCTGGGTTTGGAGTACAAGTGGGCACGGGAGAATTGGTTAAGGGAAAGGGCCTTTGTCGTGAGGTTGCATTGAGTTTACCCCAATTAACAATTGTGGAAAACTTCTTGCCATTGGAGTTGGGAGGAGTGGATGTGATTCTAGGCATGCAATGGTTGGAAACCTTGGGGGGAATGCATGTGAATTGGAAATCCCAAATGATGAAGTTCAAGGTTCGGGGGGAGACGGTCACGTTGCGAGGCGATATGAGTCTCTATACCATTATGGTGTCTCTTAAAGCAATGTTTCAGACTATAAAGCATGAGAGACAAGGAATTTACTTGGAATTACACGCCTAGGATGTGAACAAGGAACTGGACCAGTCACTTCCTACCCAGATCAACAACTTATTGCAGCGTCATCCAGGAGTTTTGAATATGCCGGATGGACTACCCTAGGCCCTACAAATATTCTCATTTTCAAAAAAATGAGATTGAAAAGTTGGGTGCGTGAGATGCTAGCGGCTGGGGTCATTCAACCAAGTAATAGTCTGTTTTCTAGCCCTGTGCTTTTAGTTAAGAAAAAAGATCACAGTTGGCGTTTATCGCACTCTCAACAAGGTCTACCGTATCGGATAAGTTTCCCATACGGTGATCGAAGAGCTCTTGGATGAATTGTTTAGGGCTATTAGTTTTACCAATTTGGATTTGAAATTGGGTTATCACCAAATCCGGATGTGCGCGGAGGACATTCCAAAGACCGCTTTCCGCACTCATGAGGGTCATTATGAATTTTTGGTTATGCCCTTCGGGCTAACCAATGCTCCCGCCACATTCCAATCTATGATGAATGAGGTATTAAAACCTTTTTTGTGGAAATTTGTGCTAGTCTTTTGTGATGACATCTTGATATACAGTAAATACTTTGAAGAACATGTTGGCCACTTGATCTGGTTTTGACCGCTTTGGAAGACAACCACTTATATGTTAATAAAAAAAAGTGCACTTTCGCTAAGAGTCAATTGGAGCATTTGGGTCACATTGTTTCTCGGGATGGGGTTTCGGCTGACTCCAACAAGATTCAAGCAATGTTGGATTGGCCTACTCCACATTCTCTTAAGGAGTTACGCGGGTTCTCGGGTTTAACCGGTTATTACCAGCGTTTTGTTACGGGGTATGGTCATCTTGCTTGGCCATTGACATAGCAATTAAAGAAAGACAGTTTCAATTGGACGAATGAGGCTGAATCTACTTTTCGAATGTTGAAACAAGCCATGACTACGGTTCCCGTACTTGCATTGCCGGATTTTTCTCAACCGTTTGTTGTCGAATCCGATGCTTCTGGGTTTGGTATTGGTGCGGTTTTGATGCAACAACAATGGCCTATAGCTTATTTTAGCCAGGTGTTGTCTCCTAGGGCCAGGGCTAAGTCGGTTTATGAGCGAGAGTTGATGGCCGTGGTCCTTGCTATTCAGAAATGGCGGCATTATCTTCTTGGGCGGCATTTCATTGTCCGAAATGATCAGAAAAGCCTTAAGTTTTTGTTAGAACGACGACTGGTTAGTGAGGAACACCAAAAATGGGTGTGCAAATTGTTGGGTTATGATTTTGAAATTCAATACAAGTCCGGTTTTGAGAATCGCGTGGTTGATGCTTTATCACGGCAGTCTTCTGGTTTGGAGTTGATGCATCTAATGACATCAGCGATTTACGATGGGGCTGAAATTCGCCAACAAATTCTCCATGACCCGAAGTTAGCTATGATTCGGATGCTTTGTTGAACAATCTGATGGCGATGAAGGGATTTTCTTTGTGCAATGACATGTTACTTTACAGGAACCGCTTGGTCATTTCCCGGCAATCACCTCTCATACCTATACTCTTGGAGGAGTTCCACGGCAACAAAGTGGGTGGTCATTCCGGAGTGCTAAAAACGTTTAAGCGATTGTCTTCCGAATTCTTTTGGTATGGTATGAAACAGGATGTAGCTTCTTTTGTTGCAGCTTGTCAGGTTTGCCAGCAACACAAGTCTTCTACTTTGGCTCCAGGGGGGTTATTGCAGCCTTTGCCACTTCCAAAACAGATGTGGGAAGATATTTCTATGGACTTTGTGGAGGGTCTTCCTAAGTCAGCTAGTCATGATTCTATTTTGGTGGTCGTCGACCGGTTGAGTAAGTATGCTCATTTTGGGTCTTCGCCATCCCTATACGGCTAAGTTTGTGGCTGCCCTCTTGTTAAAGAGGTGGTTTAGCTTCATGGGTTTCCGACCACTATTGTCTCCGATCGTGATAGTCTTTCTCATCCATTTTTGGAAAGAACTCTTTAAGTTGCAAGGTACTTCCTTACATCACAGTACGGCCTACCATCCTCAATCCGATGGCCAAATGGAGGTGGTCAACCGCTGCTTGGAAGCTTATTTACGCTGTTTTGTCTCCGACAAACCTACCCAATGGTGGTCTCATCTTGCTTGGGCTGAGTATTGGTATAAACACCAGTTTCCATGTCTCCACGGGCATGACACCTTTTAAGGCTTTATATGGTCGAGATCCTCCCAAATTACTCCATTTTGAGTTGGGTTCTACAGCTAATTCTTTGCTGGAACAGCAACTGCAGTTGCAAGATGCCATTCTGGATGAGTTACACGCACATTTGCTTAAGGCTCAACACTCCATGAAAATGCACGCTGATCTCAAGCATTAGGATGTGTCCTTTGAGGTGGGGGATTTAGTGTTCTTGAAGCTCCGGCCGTATCGCTATCGTTCTTTGGCAAAATTTGTCAATGAAAAGCTATCTCCCCGGTTTTATTGCCCTTATAAGGTTCTCATGCGTGTTGGGTCAGTGGCATATCGGTTACACCTTCCTGCATCCGCAAAGATACATCCGGTTTTTCATGTCTCACTACTTAAAAAAGCTATTGGCCTCTCGTTTCCTGCACAGGATGTTCCTCCCATGTTAATTGTTGATATGGAATTATAGGTGGAACCGGAACGCTTGTTGGCTACTCGTTGCCAATTGGAAGTCAATAGCTTTGCCATGGTCATGGTTTCTCGATTTGAAACTCCAATTCGGTTATAGATAACTGCTTACCGGATGTTACCCATGACCCAACTTCATATGCCTTTGCAGGTGGCAAGCAGTACGTTGAAGTCATTCATCATCCAGCGGAAACAAATTGCGCTCAGTTTGATCTCCCAGAAGCAGAACCTGAAAACTCACCTTTTTTGTAGCTCCGAGTCAGCCCAAAAAGGTTACCGCAAGGCTTTTCCTGGATATGCATTCATCTATAGAGTGAATTCCCTTTGTATTCCCTTCTCCTATATTGTTGGTCAGATTTTTTGTTGGTTAAAAAAACAGCTCAAATGGGCATCTATTCTATTATTAAAACAGGTTCCCATCAAACTCCAAATCAGAAATGGCAGAGCCGTAGGGATTATTCCAATAGCATTAATTAGTATAAAAGATTTGTCAGTTCCCATAAACGAATTAAACTTGGATAGAAGAATTATTGGTGATGGTCCGTCCATTTTAAGTTCATTAGTCTACGTAATAAACTATCTTTCGTAGTACCTTTCATTTCTTTCCTGTCATGTTATTGGTGAAGTGGAGCTACCAAATACTACTTGCAAACTAATCGCTCCATGCCTTATTATTAAATGAGAAAAGAGTACTAGATTGGCTTTTATTATTATATGGTTAAAAGATAAAACTTATTAAATTTTCTGAACTCAAGGCAAAAGCAAATTATAGCTTCCCTAATTAGTTTTACTGTTTCTTTATAATAAATCGCTGGAGGGAGGCTGGCCTATCATTTTCATCTCACGTCATATTTTATTTGGTTGCTTAATCCTTGTTTATATTGATCATGTAGTGTTACTAAATTGTTGAATTAAAGGCCGTTTGGTTGGAGGATTCGTTCTCTGATTCGAATTATGGTTCATGGTTCACTACAGTATTTTCTCTCATAAAAAACACACGTAAATTAAAAATGATTCTAATCTCATTATTCTAATTTATAAACCAAACAGACCTTTAGTGTTTATGTTAACCCGAGTCGGCCAGAAGGCTTTCAAATTTTGTCACTATAAAAACAACAAACATTTATAAACTCTTTGGCCTTTCCGTCGTTCTCTCTCGATTGTTTATGAAAAAGAAAAGGAAAAAAAATCAATACCAATTATCAATTCCTTTCCTTTATATTTTTTAAATGCAAGTATGCAACTATCAAGATTTTTATTAAAAAAAAATTACTACATTATTATCAAGCCTTTTTCTTTCCTTTTTTTTTTTTTGATATACCAAGTATCAAGCCCTTTTTTTGCTGAAAAAAGAAAAAAAATATATATATATATATATATATTATACCATGACAAGTGTAACACTATAACTAGTGTAACGTGACCAGTTATTTATTATACGTTTTGTGTATATACTATAACGTCCCATCAATCAAAAATATGTTAATAACGTACTAGGAATTATAAAATTCCTTTTAAATAAGTATTAATTACGTAGATTCTACATCGGCAGCGCACACATCAACAACATTCCCTTTTAACTTATGTCTTTTTTTTTTTTTTCTATTTGTCCCTTAGTTTACAAAGAATCGTCACTATTAATTAGTACAATTATCCTTTGGGTTTTTTATTATTCACCAAGATGGTACCAAGAGCAACATTATTTTCTTAGCCAAGTGGATGAATTTTGTAGAATACTCTACTCATTTCTGGTATGCATACTTATTTCAATATTCCACGAAATTAGACTTGTAGTATGAAAAGGAGAAAAGACGAGAAAATAAAAATAAAGAAATAAGAATATAGTAGAAGCATAAGATAACTTTAAGCATTTTGGTCAAAAAGCTTATCCGTTTTTCTCTAAAGGACAAAAAAAATTGAGGGAGAAGCGTTTTCTCATCTTCATAATCATCGTTACCCTTGAATAATTAATTTAATCAATTTGGCAGCTTTAAGAAAAATGACGTAAAAAGATAAAACATTATAAATTATTCAGCAAAAAGAGGGAAAAAAAAACATTATCAGTTTAGCGCCTAGTCAGCTAATCTTTAGTTGGGGGTACTCATTTGTTTATTTATTATCTCAATGAAGAAATGATCTTTTTACCACTCTAAGTTTCGTTCATTTTACCGATTTAAGTTTTCAGTTTTAAGTTTTTACAGTTAAAAATTCTTAAAAAAATATCACATCTAATTTTTTCTGCTATAATTAAAAGCTCTAAAAAAATATCACATCTCAACTCGAATTTAAAACTCAAATTCGTGAAACAAACAAAGCCTAATTGTTTATAACAGTATATGGTAATCTAGGGGTTAGAGATTCCAATTTAATTGCATCTCTAAGAAACTCTCTAAATTTTAGTTAAATTTTAACTAAAATGATTAGAAAGTTATTTTAGCTAATAATTTTTTAGTGGTACACTCTAATCATAATCCCTATTTTAACAAAGTATAGATTATTTTAATATTTATTGAGTTTAAAAATATAAATAACTTTAGTAAATTTAGAAAGAATCTTTACATCTATTTTGGTTTGAAAGAATAAAATAATATAAAAAATTAAATGGCTAGCTCCTCCTTGTTAGCTATATTTAATTAGTGTAAAATTGATTTTTTAAAATAGCTAATCATTTAACTAATAATTGAAACTATTAGTCATTTTAACTAAAAATATAAAATAGCTAGTATGGTTATAGTTACTCTAAGTATCACGCCAATAAAGAAGTGAATTTATGTTTTAAGGTAAAATCATTTGTATTATACACCAGGCAGGCATATGTGTGTATACATATATATTATATATGTATTATTCATTGAGGTTAATTTTAAATTTACTCTGTAAAATAGTGATTATTAGACTTTGGCTCGGACAAATCAAGATGGTACCTTTAAGCTTATAATAAATTATAGTTTGGTATTTCTATTATTGAGGTGCCGATTTTGCATGATGTGAGTACTCAATAAAAATTAAAAAGCAATATAGAAAATTTAGATAAAATGGATTTTAAATTAAAAAAATAAAATCTAAAATTGACAAATCTTTTTCTCAATCTAACCCTATGTACATGTATCAACTCATCACCTCCTCTGCTACATGTAATTCTCACATCTCCCACCGTTCTTGTATTGTCTTGTGTTATTTGTAACCCATATCAGATTTAAACCGTTAAAAAATTAATGTCTTATCGATAAAAATCATAAAGTTTTGATTTACATGAGAGTTTTATTATATTTTAAATGTAAAGAGAGTAAAATAGTCTTTTTCTTCACGGTCAAATGGAAAACAACACTCTTCAAGAGGATAAACTTCTCGCAACTAGTATAAAATGGGTCTCATTAACGATGGCAGTAGCATGGTGACAAGAACGCATGTTTAATAGCTCAGGATTCGAATCTCCACATCCTTACAAAGAGAGTTTCAGTTTTAAAAGTGACAATGTTTACTTATAGCAAATATAAAAGGCTACTAGTGGATAGATAAAACCTGAATTGTAAACGAGTGTAGAATAAAAGCATTTTAAAAGGTATTTAAACTGTGATTTTTTATTTTAATGTTTAAAATTTAAATTTTTTATAAGAAAAAATACTGTAATATAATTAATAATTTAAATTTAAATATATAAAATAAACATAGTCTAATTTTAAGGTTGATTTATTCTATAAGCGTTGGTGGCGTGAGGACACTAAGGGGATGTTTAGTTGGAGGATTCAAACCATGATTTGAATCATGGTTCATGGTTCACTACAATGTTTTCTCTTATAAAAAATACACGTAAATCAAAAATAGTTCTAATTAAATGATTATAATCAATGAACCAAACGTCTCTTAACTGTTTTTTTTTTTTTACTAAAAAAAATATAAAATATATCGTACCTTTATTTCAAAATTGAATCAATTGAAAAAAATAATAATTAAAATGGGGACCAGTTTAGATGAGGAATAGTGGGAATTTATCCATTTTTCAATTGGAACTATTTTCACTTTTTACTCATAATAACAGTAGGGGGTGAGCGTACCGCCGACAGCAGTACTGGCGTGTACGTGGATGGATTCTGGTGGGGTCCATTGGTTTTAATCAGTCAGTAGATAGGACGCGTAATATAACAACCAACAACAATCCACGGTTGGGCGGCCTTTTTCACCGTCGACACGTGTCCTCATTTCCCGCTTCCCATTGTCTGATTCTAACCCCCAAGGAAGCACATAAATTCCTTGACCCCACTCAGACATCGCGTGATACGACGCCGTATTTGATCACAACTCGCAAATTGCACGCACCAACTTCACTCCGAGCAGAAGACGAAGCAAGCAAAGTAAGCGAATCTCACCCCCGGGTGAGAATACGAGTCACACACTTTAGGGTAATTTAGTAATTGAAGAATTAATCACTCATCTTCTTCTGCGTTTTTGTCATTGAACGCTGATATAATAAGCTGATGATATAAATGGTGAGATACTTTATTTTCTTTGTTTGTTTACGTGCTCTCTAAGCGAAAGCCAAGTAAGCCCCATCTCTCTCTCTCTCTATCATCACTTTCTCTCTCTAGGAAAAGCTTGTAACAGTGGAGGAATTTCTGGAACCAGATAGCTGAGCAGTTTGCGGGTTGAAAATCTCTGCAAGGAAAAGAACCAAAAAAAAAAAAGCGTGTTCTGTTTGTGGATTTATAATTAATTAGGTGATTACGTTATTGATGAAAGAGAGAGAGAAAGAAGCTAAAAAATGCGCAAATCTTTCAAGGATTCACTTAAGGCCCTTGAAGCTGATATTCAATTTGCCAATACCTTGTAAGATCTCTCTTTCTACTTGTATAATTCTCATTTATACATGTTCATAATATGTCAAATTTTCAACAACTATTTTGAATTTTTGTTAAGATTTATGGATCAATTAGTTGCTTTTTTTTTTTTTTTTGTTTCTGTTTCATGTGTATATTTATCTTTGTAGTTATACATGTTAGCCAATAGGAAATACTCAAAGTTTTGTCATAATGGAATCTTATGGGCTGAATTGGGCCTTCTTTTAGATATAAGAGATTTATTATCTAATTCAATATTTCTATATTTGTTTATCTAATTCAACATTTCTTACTTGCTAACAGTTTATTATTAGGTGTGTTAAGGTGAGAAAATATCTATGATTTCTAACTGTAAGTAAATTGTTATTGGGATCCATAATCTGCGTGATCACATAGACGTATCTATTTATTGCCATTTTGCTATATTAGGTTATTATGTTGTGTGGACATTTGTTGTCTGCGCTATAAAATGGTTATGTTGATCATGGGGCAGAGTGGTAAATATGTTGTAGAAGATCGGTTGATTCAACACATTAGGTGTCCTTTTATTTTTACGTGTTTTCTTTTCTAGCGTTAATGCAATTATGATGAAACATTCCTGTTGCAATGATCAGATTATGTCGACGAAAAAAGTGTCGTTTCTTTTTTTATGGCCTTGTTCAATGATTTAGAGAAATAAACAATTTGTACGGGATTAGACAGAAATGCATTGTTCGAACTTTAATGTGGCCCTATCCGCTGTGATTGTGTTATGCTTCTGGAAATAAAAAGTTTCCCCTGAATTTCGGATGGGAATCTTGAGGACTCTTTCCTTCAACTGGAGTTAAAAAGTGAATTATGTGAGAGAACAGGCTGTAGCAAAAACTTGTGGGAATTTCATTGCCTGATTGTATGGTTTATATGCACACACTCTGACACACTTAGACCTTACTTGGTAATTCTTCAAAGAGAAGGAAGGGTGAAGATCTTCTCAAGATGTTGCTTTACAGAACCTCCACCATTCTTTTCACTTTTAAAAACAATGTGTGTGTGTGTGTGTGTGTGTGTGTCAGAGTGTTGCCAAGTAGCCTTATGGGGAAGCTCTGCGGAGTTTGCATTTGTAAGAACTGAATCGTGCCTTTCATGATTCATGTTGGTGTTTCTAAAAGATAATGCATATTGCAATTCAGGGCTTCTGACTATCCCAGGGAATACGATGGCGGCTGCCTTCAGATGAGGTTGTCGTACAGCCCAGCTGCTCAATTTTTTCTCTTTCTTGTTCAGTGGACTGATTGTCACCTTGCTGCTGCCTTGGGTTTGCTTAGGATTTTCATCTATAAGGTGAATTTCATTTTCTTCCGTACCATATGTGTTTGCTTGTTTGTGTATGTTCTATCAGAACAAGTCCCTCTATCTAATTTCTGTTCGGTTAGGACAATTGCTTCGTTTATCTTGTCATCAGGCTGATAATACTAGACTTATTACAGGCATATGAGAATGGGAAGACCACAATGTCTATTCATGAAAGGAAAGCTAGTCTAAAAGAGTTCTACAGTAAGTAAACACGAGGAAAACTAAGGCCGTGTTTAGAATTAATCCCGTTTTTTTTTTTTTCGTTTTTCGAGGAAAAAAATGAAAACGTTTTCAAAACGGCGTTTGGCGCAATAAAGACAAAAAACGGAAATGAAAACAATTTTTTGGTTTAGTGTAAAGTGAGAGAGAAATAAAAAACGATTTTTAGTCATTTTTCATTTTTTGTTTTCGTTTTCTCCTCTCTCAAGCACATATATATATATATATATATTAATAGGTTTTTTATACTGAAAATAATTTCTAAATAAAACTACCAAACACATTTTTAAAAATAATTCTTGTCTAAGATTGAAAACGTTTTCATTTTCATTTTTATATAAAAAACAAAATCATTTTGAAACGAGTTCCAAACGCGTCCTAAGTGTTCTCCTTCTCTGCTCGGATAATTTTGATGAATTTTGTTCATGCCTTTTTTTTTTCTTTCTGGCTGAGAAGTATGCCAACTGTTTTAGAAATCCTATTTTTAACGTTTTGTCCCTTCAAGAACAGGTGTCATATTTCCCTCCTTATTGCAACTTCAAAGAGGAATAACAGAAGTAGAAGACAGGAAACAGAAAGAAATTTGTGCCTCAAAATATAGGAAAAGAGACGAATCATCTGATAAGGGAAAGGTCTCGGAAATTGATTTAGAGAGAGAAGAAGAATGTGGTATTTGCATGGAGATGAACAGCAAGGTCGTCTTTCCCAGTTGCAATCATTCAATGTGTATGAAGTGCTACAGAGATTGGTACGTAAATTGTATGTTTGCTTCTTTTGAAACCTCCATTGTTATTTTTTCAGTCAGTGGCTAGTATATTCAGTATAGGGGTTTAGATTATTGACCGAGCAAAAGGGAAAACAAATAAACGGAGCAAAAAGAAAAGTAAAACAAATAAATGAAAGAACAGAACAGAACAGAGTTTTGTGTGTGTGTGTGTGTGTTCTTTATTATTATTATTTACTTTTACGAAAATGCAAATTGTATATGAACTATTAATGATCTTTTTGCTTCGTCTTTCATATTTCCCCTAACGTTTTGCTGTAAAACACAAGATGAAATGATTTTCTTTGCCATTTTCATCAAATGCATACTCCAAGAGTGAGTTATCATTTTGGAAATTTCATTTTCAGGGGATCTGTTGCATTGTACCTTGTAGTCCTATCTAATGCTCAATATCAAAGACTGCCCTTTTTTATTGTAATTGGTATTTGTTATTTTTTTATTTTTTTCCATTCCTTAAATATATATTAATTTAGCTTAGAATTGCGTAACGTTCATCTATAGGCGAGCTCGCTCTGAATCGTGCCCCTTCTGTCGGGACTGCCTCAAAAGAGTGAATTCATGTGACCTTTGGATCTACACCAGTAGCACTGAGATTGTCGATTTGTCTGCAATCTCCAGGGAGAACTTGAAGAGACTTCTCATGTACATTGATAAATTGCCTCGCATTGTTCCTGATCCAGCGTTTGTTTCATATGATCCTCTTCGATGAGTGGCTTCATCAACACACCCCATACTACCAAGATTTGTGTTCTCATTCCCAATGAAACAAAATTTGCAAGTAATATGTGGTTCTTTGTATATAAAATTCCCGAACCTTTCAAGTTAAACATTCAAAGATGTAAATATCTATTCGTTACTGGGCCTCGTCCTGTTGTTACACATCAGATGATATATTTTCTCATCTGGGATTTGTGTTAATTGGGAAACATCTAATTTTTCGTTTTGTGTTGCGTAGTTTTTTTACGTTTGGCTTGCCTCGTTGTCGTAAAAGTAGATTTTCCATGAGATGTTTGTCTAGACAATATGCCAGCTAGGGAGGCATACTGATGTGAAAATTGCAAGTGCACAATATCGCATACAAGTAATAAAGTGATAGAGTACAGAATCATTCTCACAGAGACTCATAATTAAAATTCTACTAAGTACTGAAATTATAGAAATTCTAATTTTATCTAACAGATTGATTTCAAAGAGTGATTATGAATTCTAAACTAATTAAATGATGGAAATAATAAAATTATGAAGGACTAATATAAGAAAAATCTAGGGATTAAATTTCACCTTCTCAATCCATATTAATTCCCCAAAGTTATATTCCTAAACTCGAATATTTCATCAAGTGACAGTTGAAGCCCTAAAGATTATTACTATCCTCTTCCAATTCAAGTAACAATATAAAACTCACCGACTCAATTTTTTATATTCCTATGCAAAATTGAACCAGCAAGAAGTATTATGATTTATGCTTTTCGAATGAATACTGCATCAATCTCATGAGTATATTCCTATTTTCTCAATCAAACAATGTTATTCTATCAAAGATCACAATTCTAACCTCCTTTTCCAATTTGGTTAAGAATAATCAAATCGATTAATTGGGTTATCAAATCAATTAAACGCATTAAGAACAAGATAGAACAATCACTTGAATTAAAACATCTGAGAATTGGAATTGATAATGGGAAATTAAGAATTCATGGTAGGATCCATAGTCACCCTAGAATGAAAAAGTTAGAACATAATGGAAACTATAAACATCAAAATAAAATTGTTCAAGGACATGATTAAAACTAAGAAAAGAAAATACAAAAGATGAAGCCAAGAGCCTGATGCTAGAAGGAATCCCTGGCCGTCACTCTCTAGACATTAATTGTCCCCCACCAATTGCCCTAGAATCATCTATTTATATGTTTCGGAGCATTATGATCAAAACGGGTAAGTGTTCTCGCGATTAGCCTTCAAAACGCGTCTTTTCTCGCGTCGTAGCGCCGCGGCGCTGAGTTCCTAGCGCTGCGGCGCTACTGTGTAAAAATCCTGGGCGCTGTGGCGCTGTCATGGGCGCCAAAGCGCTACCCCACTGCACTGATTCCGTCGGATTTCAGCGCCAAGACGCTACAGACTGACGCCTAAGCGCTATGTTTGCTGTCTTTTTCCACCGAAATTTGTCCCAAAACCTTCCAAATCATAGATTTTCACGTAACCTTCAAACAAAGAACGAAAACACACATAAAAACTAACAAAAACCTCAAAAATCAACTAGATATTAAATGTAAAACAATACTAAATGAGCGAGTAAAACTCACTCATCACATACATGCAAGGCACGTAGCCAAGTTATCACCGATTGTGCCCCCCCCCCCCCCCCCCCCCCCCTCTCTCTTCCAACTTTTTTTTTCCCTATATTTACATAAGAATATCTTTAAAAAATTTAAACAAAGCCCCCTCTAAAAAATTAAAACTATAATTTTATACCCTTTAAATTCTTACTGTAATTTTTAGCTCCCTCTCACAAAAATTTCTAACTTCGTCACTGCATACAAAGTATTGCCTTTTAAAAGATGCATGCTCCGGCAAAAATATAAAATTTGAAAAAAAAGGGCTAGACTCTGATATCATATCAGATTAACAAGTCTACTCTTGTTTTTTGTTTTTGTTTGCTTGGACGGAAACAAGGATAACAATCACTAAATTTTCAGTTCTTTTTTACCAACCTAGTCTTAAAAAAAAAAAAAATTTACTATGCTTATTTAGGGAGAAAAAAAAAGGCTAGACTCCGATATCATATCAGATTAACAAGTCTACTCTTGTTTTTGTTTTTGTTTGCTTGGTCGGAAACAAGGATAACAATCACTAAATTTTCAACTCTTTTCTACCAATCTAGTCTAGTAAAAAAAAAAGGAAGATTCTTTTTTATCAACATTCATTTTTATAGGGGCTAGTTTCAAAAAACTTTCCCAAACTTTGACCATAGTTCTCAATTTTCCCTAGAACTTTTAAATGCCCTGTTTTTTTTTTTTTTTTTTTTTGGAGCAAAAATGCTATGTTATTTGTTACCTACTCATCTACTGAGATATTACGTAATCCTTCATGCTTCTCAATTCTGTACCATTTTGGAGGGAAAACACTGACGTGAGTGCCATGTGCGCATATAAAGGAGGACAAAATTGTAAATTGATTAAGGTTAGGGATAATTAGTTGTTTGAAAGTAGGCGAGCAATTTCTGGATGACTTGGAAATATAGGTCTCGATCATTTCATTGATTCGAATTTAAAATTTGAGTTTTATTACAGTAAAAAGCTGTCATAAACAGTCACATCTAATATTTTTGCTACAGTAAAAAGCTCTCACATAAAGTCACATTTCAACTCGAATTAAAAATTTGAATCAACGAACTAAAAAATGAGAATAAAAAGTGTGAAATTCTGTGGTAGGGAGTTTAGTAACCGTTTACTTTTGATGTTGATTTTCCGGTGTACACCTAAAAAAACGAGCATGGAGGCCGGGGTGGGGTAGAGATCAATAAAACTCACCACCCGCATTAATACGTACAAGTCAAATGTGACACTTTTATGTTAAAACGCCACGGTAATAACACAATGACCTGTTTATAAAGTTACGTAGTTGGACATATAGTCATATACTATTGTGTGGTTGTTAGTTCTATGTGCTACATAGAAAGTTTAGAGACTTCACATAGTTAACTAGTATTAACTAATTTTGAATTAATTGTTGTATCACTTTGTACTAATCAGATTAATGGTCATAAACAAGTTAATTTTTCATGCTCAGGACCCATTTGGTGCGCAAATTAAGGAGAATTATATATGATTAAATTTTAATACAATGTTTTGTGTATATTTTTAAAAGAATGGATTGGATAAACTTTTGTCTAGCCCATGCTCAAATTCCTTTAGAATAGGATGTTACTATCCTCTGCTAAAGCATAGGATAACTTTTAACTAGATCACATTGTGAAAACATTAGGGATCTATTTGTAAATCTTAATAATTATAATTTTATAAAAATTGAGGGGTCAAAATGCAACTTTTATATGAGTAAAATATTTTAAAAATATTATATTTTCCCCGCTAGTTTTGAGAAATTACAATTTGATCCCAAGTTATAAAATTTTTTGCAGAAACACCCTTATCCTAATAACATAACATCAAACACAAGATTGGATTAAACTATAATTTAATCATATCCTTTTCTATACAGTCCAATCCATTATCCTAAAACTATCCTATCTAATGTTATCTTATCCTGCATACCAAAGGGGGCCATATTGGGTTAATTTGATCAACACGGTTATTAATTGCATTGTAGAAAGGTGTTAGGTGAAGTGAACTTTTTTTGAGTCAAACTGGATTCGAATGGGTGCAATAGAACATCTCTATTTATCTCGATGGTTTAAAACTTCACTACTCACATAAAGTGAGTCTCATTAAGTGGGTAGGTGAGACCCTATCTAGCGGGACCTATAGTGTTGTGAGTGATGAAATTTTACCCTGATAAGGATAAATATCATTTTTCAGTGCGAGTCACATAAAGGATTCAAATCATGGTGATTCAAGTTTTGATTTTAGAACCAAAACCATAATTCATAATTTTGTATCCAAATTATGGTTCTGAAATCAGAACCAGAGTCAGGGGTTTGAACCACTCAAAACCAAGGGAATGGGTGGTTTTAGAATCAAGGGTGATTCATGATTTAAAACATCATATCAGGATTCAAACCTTAAATCAAAACTATCCTAACCAAACACTAATTCTGTGTGAGTCAAATCAGAACCACTTTTACTTTTTGTAAACAAACACTGATTCTGAACCAGAATCATGGTTCCGGATTCAAAACCCTCATACCAAACAACACCTACAACTGCGGAATGTAAGCCACAAGAAAAACACACACCAGAAAGTCCCTACTTCCCTTACTGTTGCTACTGCCGATCAAAGCTAAATATTTCATGGACATTTTCACAAAACCCTAGAGAGCAAAATAGCAAAACCTGGAGAGAAATTTATAGGACCCCTTCAGGTCCAAATTGGAGGAAAATGCTATCCAAATTGTTGCTCAAAATCAGGGGTATTCAACGTAAGATGTTACTTTCAACCACCTCTTTCGGAGATCCATACATTAACCCATTTCGACCAAATTGGACAGCAAAGGATTCTATAACGTTTCAATAATGGGTCTGCGAGTACCACAGTTGTTGGAAAGCATATTGAAAATTTAGTAGCAACAACTGCTGCTTGCTTAAATTTCAAGTTTTGGACCAAATCATCTTTATGAGGTCTGTTTCAGGCATCCAGTGCAAGAATCATCACAGCAAAACTATGTCATGAAAATAAGCTAATTTAGGTCTGATAAGCACAAAAATAAAAGTTTTGAGAATGAATGAACAGACGATTATCCCATTGCGGATGAGCTAATTTACCATTATATAAAACACTAACGAGAAACGAGGAAAGCTGCCTTTGTTTATACACACACTGTAGTCATATAATAAAATCGTGGCAGTACAAGGCAAATGTTCCTTTCAAAAAGTACCATAGGCAGCCAAAGGCTAAGGTATGCACATACAAAATATATGATACTGTCCCTGAAATATCAACTGCTGTGCCCAAGTCCAAAATGCATACAATTTCAGTCCTCATCGTCCTCATCTTCCTCCTCCTCCTCCTCGTCATCCTCCTCTGGATGTCCTTCCTAAGATGGAAGGAGAAAATATTCACTCAAACCATGGGTGATTCAAGAAAATAGAGAACTACTCGAAACTATTTGAAAAAACAAATGTAAAGGAACATTCAAATAAATTCATGTTAACCCCTTTGATGTATTATTTGTTTTATCAACTCTCAGCATCATTTAAAACACCCTAACTAATCCCTTTGTCAATTGAATACATGGATACCTCCCCACTAGCCTCGTCATCTTCATCATTAACTTCGGATTTTGACCTGTCAGACTCTTCATCGCCATCATCCGCTGTGCTCTCCTGTCATCAACAAGAAACGTTAAAGATAAGAATAATTTCAACAATGACAATCCAAACTAAGATGAATCCTCTAATAAGAATTGACAAACCAAACGCACCAGTTTCTTGTTGTACGCCTTTATTTGCTTTTCATACTCGGCCTTCCTTTTTGCAGCCTTGGCTTCATATGGAGCTTTTTCCTTTCATAAAAAGTAGAGAAAAGAAAGTTGGTAATATACGAGAAATTATTCATACTAGATCCTGTCTAGCTAAATATCCATTGTCCCATTAACATAATATAAACCAGTAAGAAAGTAATAATATGAGAAAACGACCCTAAAATTGAGCACAGTTGCCAAAAGAAATGGCTCCATAAAGCAAGGGGATTACAGTGCCTTTGTAACCAAAATGGTTAAGTTGAAGTCCAAAAACAAAAAACCAAAAATGATTTTGTACTGAAAAATGACCCTCAACACACATGAAAACAACAGCATACAGAATACTTACAGCGTTGGACAGAGATTTCCATTTATCTCCTCCAGCTTTTCCAACCTTCAAAGGCAGAGAGTATAAGAGATTAGTAAATTGAATGTTCCAAAGTGAATTCCTTTTCACAAAGAGGCAATAGCAGGCGTATACTTACAGCCGATACAGCCTTCACATTCGGGTTTTCTTTCTTAAACACTTTCCTGAACTCCTCACTATCACATTAAACAATGGTAACTTCAAATTGTGACAACGATAATTCTCAAAGAAATAAAATAATACAGAGAGAGACACAAACAGGAAAACAAAGAAAGCGCTAGGCGGCCTCTTCGGTTTGTTGGGGTCTTTCTTAGCCATTTTTTCCTTCTTGGCCTTCCGCTTGCTACCCTTGTCAGCCTGGGTAGCAGCCTTTCGCTTCCCAACCTTTCTGAAAAGAATTAGAGATATACATGATCCGTCACAACAATATTCCTGTAACCTCTGTATACACCATTCAGCATATAACATCAGATATGGAAGAACCAATCATCTCAACAATGGCCATCAAACCAATACCCTTAAACAGATAGCTATAAACAATAAACTCTTTATCTCTTGCAAAGTTATGTAAAAACTAAGAAATAGAAGAACTGTAAGGAGCAAAATAACTATAAATCAAATGAACTACTGACCTGTCCTCCACAACTTTCAAAACTTCCCTTGAGCTCCTTGCTGCCCCCTTACCCTTAGCTGCCTTCATTCTAAATTATATTTGGGTCTGTTCATCATCAGATTTTAATCTGTTATTGAAATATTAATTCCTCTAACTGAAACATTACTTCCTTCTTAGCAGAATCCTATGAATGCATAAGAAACCCTACCAATAGGCCTTTCTTTTCAAGTATAAAATTCTGTAAGTTTTGCATATTTGTTTTAATTTTAATGTGATTTTGACTAGATCTAGCGTTTAGAAACATGCGCTACCGGAGCTTAAGAAGATACCATAACCCCCACACAAAAAAATAAAAATAAAAATAAAAAAAGAAAGAAAGAACAGAGAGAGACAGAGACTACACTAGCTCAACAAGTCAGCGCAGACTTCCCAGTCACAAAAGTCAACGCAAACACAGACAGCCCATAAACGACTTTTTTGACCTCTTAGAACATAAGGCTGAGTTGATAGCCATACATAAGAAAATTTGGTAAGAAAATGGATATAACCACATGCAAATATATTAACAACTAAAATCTCAAAGGACAAAATTCCAAAAAAAAAAAAAAGAAAAGAAAAGGCAATACATAAAGAAATTTCGTAAGAATATGGATATAACCACATGCAAATATATCAACAACTAAAATCTCAAAAGGACAAAAATCCAAAAAAAAAAAACAAAGAAAAGAAAAAGCCATACATAAAGAAATTTCGTAAGAATATGGATATAACCACATGCAAATATATTAACAACTAAAATCTCAAAGGACAAAATCCAAAAAAGAAAAAGAAAAAAAAAAAGCAAACGAATGCGAACCACCAAGAATCATAAGCACCAAGAAATGTTTAATTAACTCAAACCACTTTTCAAGCGTTTAAGCATCTCCTAATCAAACTTAATCGGCTAGAGTTTAATGATATATATCTTCATCTCAACAAAGAATTAATTTAATTACTCATCATGTTACGTAGGAAAATTGCCGAAGAAACAAATCTTGAAAACCTAGGAGTTTCAATTGCAAGCATATACAACTTGATGTTTAGTATTCAAGCAAAATAAAAAATAAAAAAAAATAATAAACTTCATACTTAATCAAGGTTCCATGGTACCGGTATTATATATAATACGGACTAAATAAACATAGCAAAAAAATGACGGGAAAAAAAAAAAGAAAAAAGCCAAAGGAGAGAACCAAAAAAGTAAACTTTCTTTTCGTTTCCTCAATTTTCTCAGCAACCAAACAGAGCTTGAATGAAAAGAAAAAGTTAAGGAAAAAATAAAATAAACCATGAAGGATCAATAGAAGAGCTTTACCTGAGAACAAAAGAAAGCAAATAGTGATTCGCAGAGAAACTTTAAAGAGAAGAGAAGAGAAGGGAAGAGAAGAATCAAAAGCGATGGAATATCAAAACAAAAGATCAACAGAGAAAAAGGAGAGAGTACGACCGCGAGAGAGAGAGAGAGAGAGAAATGGAGTTGACAAAGGGCAACCGGACCAGCCGGTAAAACTAAGAACAGACTGTCGCCGCCACCTGGGTCCTTGAGTCGGTGTAGAGCGCGCTTTTACCTGCTGTACCCGGTTTCCGAGGTTCCGCAAATAAAGGTCAATATTTTATTTTCCATTTTTTGAATTATATCGAAGAGGACTAATATATGATATATCATTATAGTGAGTTATTAGTGTTGATGATAAATGATAATAAATCAGTACCGCCAAGTTATTATCCCATATAGGCAAAGACAAGGCAGATATTTGTGGCCCGCCGCACGAGCCGACACGTGGCAGGTTGTTCGGAGCCCAGTCTTTAACATACGATGTTTTATTTCGGGCTTAAGTTGTGTCAACATGAACAAGTATCCCACTTCATATGCGTTGTTTTCTATTGCGAAAAAACTAGACAAACAAATACCTTTTTAAAATTATACGAGACAGAATTTTACACTCTATTATTAATTTGTAACTTTTTATTTAAAACAAGATTAGTAACCTTTTTAATTAAATAATTATACTAATAAAAAAATATTAATTAAGAATGATGAATAAAAATTTAGATTTATATATTTTTAAAAATAAATTCTGTAATTTTCTCTTTTTTTTTTTTTCCTTTTCCTTTTGTTTTTATGGTAACACTAAAAATAATTTGCTCATAAATTTGAAATATATAGTAATTCTTTTAAAATAGAGTAAATTGCACTATACACGCTCTTAACTATTTGTTTTTTTATACAATGAACTCTAAACATTTAAATTTGAGAAATTGGATCGTGAATTTTAAAACTAATTGCAAATTAAAATTTAATAGCTTATGACGTTATCAAATTGACAGTTTAAAACAGAAGATTTATGAATGACAATATATAAAAAAAATTTGATAATATTTGACTTTCATATGTGAATCTTGTATCTTTAATTGTTAATCTGGTAATGTTCCTTAGATATTAGACATTAATTGTTACTGATTTTAAGTTCAAGGTGTACCTTGTTATAATTAAAAGTTCATGATTCATCACGAAAAAAATGAATAATTTAGAATACAATAACACAATTTACTCTTTGAAATATTTTAAAAATAAAAAATTATAATAATAATTATGATAATGATTTTCACGTTTTATACTACTATAACAATTATAACAATGTAGTTGTTGTTATTTGTAAAATATTATATATGATATTCTAACTTGAGACGAATTTAAGAATTACTTTAAATGCTTTTGTGGTATAATAGATGTTTAAAATAAAATTCTCAATGACACTTTTATAATTGCACATTCAATACTCAAACTCCTCATGTAAAAGCACGCCACGTGTTATTTTAGACTGAAAACTTAACAGAATGGGAGAATTTACAAAATTCACAAATTCATGGCGAACATATGTTACAAAATTAAGTTTGGGGGTCATTTGTTGACAATGCCTATAATTCGGGGTTAAACGTGTAATTTGTCATAATTGAAAAAACCTGGTCTGCATCACTATTCATTGATGCGTTACTTTATAGATGCCAAAATGTTTCCCTGCAAGCCCTTAATGTTATCTTGTCGTTCAGTCACAAGAAATCAACCATTTTTTGAGATTTTTTAAAATCATTTTCTGCCCATAAAATGTCTCTTTCAGTACAATTATACCACCTTAATTACAGCATTGCCACTTGAACAATGTCCAAGCCACTGGTGATAGTCAGTATCGCTTAGTTGTCAATTAGTTGTGCCCTTAATTCTCCCTTGCAAGTTGGCGTAGTAAAATCTTTGAGATACTTAATATATTATATTAATTTATGCACAAATAAATTAATCAAATTAATTTATGAATAAATTTACCTAACGAATAATTAAGTCGATAACTTGAGTTCTTTGACTATGAACATTTCTCGCACCAAGCTTGCTTAGATATCCAAATCTTCCTCGTCAATTTCTTAAATCTACGAAGACATGTGTGTAGGCACACCTAAAAAAAAGATGATTACTAAATAAACACTCAAGTATTCTACGAATACCAACACATGCACGATGTGAAATTAAGGAGAAAATTTTTCATTTCTTCACTCTATAAAATTCCACCACACTATGCTAGGGAGAGCAAAAATTGTGCTTTCCAATTTTTTGCAATATTCTATTTATAGAGTAGTAATTAGACTCTCAGAAGAAGTCTTATCCTTATCTCTAAGATGAAGCTTGATAATTATCTCTCAATTCTAATTGATTTTAGAAACAAAATTCTCTCTCTCTCTTATCTATAGGGGCCGGCCACCACAGGGATATTCTGCTAGGAATGGTGTCTTAAAAGCATAGGATGTAATTAAGGATTTTATTATTTAATTAATAAAGTAGATATTTTCATTATTTATTAGCATGTATTATTGAATACTTTATGAATATCATTGAAAGTTCTACGATTATTTATGTAACCTTAAATATGGTTTATAAGTGTTATACACTAGAGGATAATGTTTAAGAATAATAATCGAAATAAGTCTGTAATGAATTTAATTAAATTTTGGAATCTTTAATTAAAACATTATTAATATATATCATTCCCATTAAAAATAGAATGAGCTTAACCGCATCATTGATATGGAGAGACATCGAATAAGTGTATTTTACATAATGAGATTATGTAGGATCAGGACACAGACACATATGAATTTCTAATGATTTCCGTTAAGTATAGAAATTCTAATTGAGCCTATCGATGGTCATATGTAGAATGATCTTAATCATGAATTATTAACAGACTCCTATTTATGGATTCGTGTCTTTTGATTTACTCGGTAAAAATCTTGACACACTTATATCTTACCATTGTATCTTGGAGACATGGAGAAATAGGTAGCCGGAAATGCTAATATTACGAGATGGAATCCATTCCTTCTTAAGAAAGAAGTAGATAAATAATTCCATTGAGGGTTGATTCAATACTTGGATTAGTAAGAGCTCCGATTCATGAATGTGTTTTATGAATCAATATCCATTAGAGAATCAATGGTACTTTAGGATAAAGATACAATTAGAGAGGTTAACGAATTTCACCTAGCTCTAATTATGAATTATTTATGGAAAATCGATCTATATGAAGTGACTATATCAAATGGACGCTTCACAAATGTAATTAATTGTCTATAATATCAAGAGTGCAATTCCAAGTTTATAGTGGAATAACTTTTAGAATTAATAAAATTTATTAATTAATTAAAGAGCTCAATTAATTATTAATTGTATTAGACCTTGATATTATAGATCCATGAGTCTCCGCGTCGTCCTGTTAATTCTACGAGACACTAAGGGTAAACTAGTAAATTTAAAATTGTGGAATTCTAAATTATATCACTCAGAAATAATTAATTAAGAATTAATTATATATTAAATAATGTGATTATTTAATTTAATTTTTGAAAGCAAAATGTGGTGGGACCACATAGGCCACATGCCAGTCACTGGGTGCTGGGGGCATGTGGCACAAGAAAAATCCCACTGGGATTCACTTGCTTACTCTTTAAGTTATCATTTTACTTGTTTGACAAGTTGTCCAATTAAAATTCAAATTTAAGGAAAGTTTGACTTTAATTAGAATTTGAATTTGAGTCAAAATTAGAAACTGGATAAAGGAGGAGTCTTTTCTCCTTCTCCTGCCTATATTTTGCCCTAACCATAAGGAGAAATCACTGTGGTATGACCAGCCATAATAAATAAGGAAGGGGAGAGTTTTTTGCTTCTAAACTTAAATGAAAAACTATATTGTAAATGAGATTTAAAATAAAGTAATAACCAATTATCTATTGCTTTGCCTTCAAGTTAAAGCAAAAGGGTCCTCTTAGTATTCTATAAATAAGAGACAATAGAAAATTGTACAACACAATATTCTTCTTCTCCTATGTGATTGGCGTATAACATATCTGTTATAAGCGTGTAACATTCTGTCAGACAACATGTAACATGCTAGTGACTGACGTGTAACTTTTTTCACTCCCTTTTTTGTGGCTGGCGTGTAACTTGGCTATTGTAGACATGTAATATGCAGTTGGTTAGCATGAAACCTTACAGCAGTTGGCATGTAACATTGAGAGAAAAAAAGAAGAAAAGTTTTTCCATTCTCATTACACACCGTGCATGTGTTGATGTTTGTGGAACATTTGTGAAATGAGTGATAACATTTATTGTGTTTTTAAGTGTGCCCACACACAAAGTCTCTTTAGAATACAAGAATTGACGAGAAAGTCTTGTGATAGTCTGAGGAACGGGAGCACTTGGATTGTTCGTGGTCAAAGACTGGAGTTATCCTCCTAATCAATCACAGGTATAACTCCTATACTAAGTTAATAAGATTAATTTATTTATTATAAATTAATATATTATATAGCGTTCACAAAAGTTTTAAGAAAATTTTTTGTTCGGACCCAATCCGTGTTTCCACGCTTCTGCATCCGAATTCGAGTCTGAAACCAACATATTCCCCCATGTGGTTGGCGCAAATAGCAATAGGGAAGGAGAAAAAATTCTCCTTTATACTGCAATCCAATTTTGACTCAAATTCAAATTTCAATTTAAGTCAAACTTAATTTAATTTGAATTTCAATTAGACAACTTATCAAATAAGTGAATTAGATAACTTAGAGAGCAAGAAACTGAATCTCAAAGGGATTCCCACTATGCCAGTGTGCACACCATGTGGACTCCTCCACATGTGTGTTCTAAAATTTAAATTTATATAATCACATTTTTTAATTTACTATTAATTCTCAATTAATTATTCTTGAATGTTCTATTTAGAATTCCATAATTCTAAGATTCTCATTTTTCCCTTAGTGTCTTGTAGGATTACAAGGACGACGCGAAAACTCATGAACTTATAATTTTGAGCTCCAATAAAATTAATAATTAATTAAAACTCTTTAATTAATTCATTCATTCATTCTATTAATTCTAAAAGTTACTCCACTATAAATTTGAAATTACACTCTTGTAATTATAGATATAATTTACTTCTAAACTATGAAGTATCCATTTGATATAGTTATTACATATAGATCAATCCTGCATAAATAATTCATAATTAGAGTTAGGTGAAATCTGTTAACCTCTCTAATTACATATTTATCCTTGAGTACCATTGATTGTCTAATGGATAGTGATTCATAAAAAAAATTCATGAATCAGAGCTCCTACTAGTCTAAATACCAAATCAATCCCCAAGATAATTATTTATCTACTTCTTTCTTAAGAATGAATGAATTCTATCTTGTATAAAAATATTCTTAACTACTCACTTCATCATGTCTCTAAAATACATAGAATATGATTAAATATCTTGGAATCATACATGCAACGTAGTCTTAACATGTCTACCTATATCAAGATCTAAAATTATTTTGTCCTTACTTTTGGTTAATAAATGTGGATAGCTAAAATCATTTTTTGATTAAAAAAATCTCAATGATTCCAAAAAAATCTCTTGTCAATATGATGGAAATTCCTTTTCATGTAAACTATAATTACAATAACAATAATGATTAATTTCTGGTTGTCTCTGAGTATTAGCAGTTATCCTAATTTGGCTCTATATTTAATACAAATACTAATGCCCATTGGATATTTAGCATAAAAAAAATGATGATATGATATGTTATTTTTATTATTTATTATAATGCATAATATTATTTAAAATGTTAAATTTATTTTTTTTATAATCATTAAATTTTGAAAGTTGTAAAATTAAATTTTTATTTTTAAATAATTAGAAAATGCAAAAGATGCAATGATTACACGAAAACGTAAACATTTTAACTAATAGCAATCAAATGTTAAATTTCTCATGTGTTATATTTAGTGAAAAATTTATCACAAAGTATAGTATATGAGAAATTTAACATAACAAATAGTATTGCATTAAAAAATATTTTTTTTACACTCAAATACTAAATTTATAATTAACACATCAATTATAATATTATATTAGAGATACTCTTACGTATTATGCAATCCTCAATTATATTGAACGTTGCACATTTAAGTTCATTGTATTTTATATGAAAAGTGATCATGTAACTAATATACCCTTTCAAGTAAAGGTAAAACGGTAAAAGGAGACGGTCATACGACCAATATATGACCCTAACTAATGTAAAACGCTAAAAAGAGGTGGAATATAAGTAAAAAGTAATTAAAAATATTACACCTTTCCAATTATTATAGAGGTATCTCGTATTTAGATAATATGAAAATAGTGTCATGTAGTTTCAGTAACCGTCATTTTGAGTAACTCACGTCTATATTTTAAGGCATAAAAAATATCTCTTTTATCTTTTCAATACAAAAAAGCATATTAAAATAAAGTAAATATGGAAAATAAAACTATATATATAAAAAAAAAATCTGTAGTTGCAAATAAAATCAAACCTCTATAGTTGCAAATTATTTTTCCGATGTAGAAAAATAATAAGAAGAAAACATACAAAATCCTAACCAACAATGGGTGATACTAACATCCTTGGAACCGATAGATTTTCATTTGCAACATGCAACCTCAGCCACTTCTGTTTCCGTGGGCCATCCCCAACTCCCTACAAAACCCACTATCAGATAAGGCAAAGATAAGGCCGAGTCCATCAGAGCCGTCAGATGGATACGCTCATGAATCCAACGGCCAAAGAATCGTCACCGTGGATAATCCCACCAAAGCCTAGATTCATCACTCTCCCTCTGCAAAAATAAAGTCTTCACTCTCACAAACAACCCATTCTCCAAATCCCAAACCCACCTTCCTCCCTCAACGCACCCCGCGCACGTTAGCAAAAAAACAGAAAAAAATGGCCGCGACCACAGCCGCCGCAGCTACATCCTCCTTCATCGGAACGCGCCTCCACGAGGCGTGCTACTCAAACGCCGGCCGAGTCCAGGCCCGGTTCGGGTTCGGGAAGAAGAAGAGCCCAGCTAAGAAGTCGGTGAAGCGCAGCCCGGACCGGCCACTGTGGTACCCGGGAGCCACGGCCCCAGAGTGGCTGGACGGGAGCCTGGTTGGCGACTACGGGTTCGACCCATTTGGGCTCGGAAAGCCGGCGGAGTACTTGCAGTTCGAGCTGGACTCGCTGGACCAGAACCTGGCGAAGAACGAGGCGGGAATTATCATCGGTACGAGGACGGAGTTTTCGGACGTGAAGTCAACGCCGTTCCAGCCGTACAGCGAGGTGTTTGGGCTGCAGAGGTTCAGAGAGTGCGAACTCATTCACGGGAGGTGGGCCATGCTGGCCACTCTCGGCGCTCTCACCGTCGAGTGGCTCACTGGTGTCACCTGGCAAGACGCCGGCAAGGTACGTACATACGGACACTATATAACTATATCGAAGCTTACTAAATTACACGTATATATACTTTTTAAAAAAAAATAGATATAAATTGTGGATTTGCATATTTTTGAAAATGATTGTGCAAGAAAATAACATGATAATTATCAGTGTTAATTTGGTTGGTGTTATTGGTAATGTATCTCTAGTCACCTACACAAAAGATCAGATCAGCAACAGTACTAACCGGAATTTGATCAGAATCTAAAAGTTGATTTTTTTTTTGGTCCTTTATGAAAGAGTTGTCTTAAAAGTATCTTATATTGATCGAGAATTACTGTGAAATAAGTTCAAAAAAAAAAACTTATTTTTTACCAGTTAAATGTACAAAAAATTTTCCTATATGTTATAAATTGTTTACATAATTTGACGTTGTTGTTGATGTTCATCAGCTAACTATAGGGCCTAGATTTTTGTTAGAAAGTGTGTCACATCACATGATAGTATTAGATTTTTTCGCTTGATTTCTTAAGGCGCCAACCAATTGAGTCAAGAAATTAACTTGACGTGGATCTTACATTTACCCACAGTTGAGAAGGTCGCATTATGTTGTGGGACCCAACCAATAAAAAATGAAAAACAAAAAAAAAAAGTAATTTTTTTTTTTTAATTAAAAAAGGCTAAAATGAGATTTCCCCCTTTTCGTTAATGAATATATTATAGGTGGAGCTAGTGGAAGGATCATCATACCTCGGACAACCACTCCCATTCTCCATCACCACACTCATTTGGATTGAGGTTCTAGTGATTGGATACATTGAGTTCCAGAGGAACGCTGAGCTTGACCCTGAGAAGAGGCTTTACCCTGGTGGCAAGTTCTTTGACCCATTGGGCCTAGCCTCTGACCCAGAGAAGAAGGCCACCCTTCAACTGGCTGAGATCAAGCACGCCCGTCTGGCCATGGTTGCCTTCTTGGGCTTTGCCGTCCAGGCCGCCGTCACTGGAAAAGGCCCACTCAACAACTGGGCCACCCACTTGAGTGACCCTCTCCACACCACTATTATCGATACATTCACCTCCTCTTGAGCTACTATTGCGAATCTTTGTAACCCTTTTTTTAAGAATGTAAACAATATTTAGCTGAATTACTATCTCCATTTGTCTTGTAAAGATGATGAAAGGAGAACTATCGACTATGGGACAACATGTGAGCTTGCCTACTTGTTAATGGGATTATGGGACAGAGGTGGTGGGTACTTGAAGCCTCTCTTGGCCACTTTGAAATTGGACATAAATCGGGAGAAAAATATATAAGGTATAATTACAAAAGTCCACCACCAAATTTGATACTACAATTTAGGAGAATATGACATATTTAGCAAAACAATGCACAACCTTACCTTTTTTTTATTTTATAAACTTGGTTATGTTAACTTTCATTCAAGGATTTCATTAAAACACAATATAATTTGATTTCAAGGGGCAATAATAGAGACATGAGAAGTGAAAATTAAGTCTCGATGAAATATACTTTTTATTTTTTTTTAAGATGATGACACACCATGAAACACAAAAGGGGACAAAAGAAGAACAATATTGTTAAACCTGAGGAGTCGGTAGGGAAGGAGCAGATTGCATTAGGCTGTAGACTAGCATGATAATAGAATGAGCCTAGTCAAACTGTGAAATGCGATCGTGATCAGACAATAAGTGAGCGCTTGGTTCATAGATTCAGAGTTATTCTCGATTTACGTGAATTTTTTATGAGAGAAAATAATGTAGCGAACCACGAACCATGATTCGAATCATGGTACGAATCCACCAACTAAAAACACCTTAAATATTCAAAATAGTTGGCATAGTGCAGTTCTTGCCCAGTAGACTGAAAAAATAAAAATAAAATAAAAGTGCACGCATGATTATGACTCAAATGCGTCAAATGATCACGAATTCTGATGAATAACATGAGAATAGACATACCGTTTAGATTACAATTCAAACCAAAATTCTCGCATCTCCTAATGCCTATATAGAAGGGGAGATGGACAAGCGAAAGGCACGTCTTTCTTGTCTTGAAACTCTTACGATTTTTTATTTTATGATATCTCTCGTTGACTTGAGCAACAAAGAGTTCTTTCTACAAGAATACTCATTTCTTGGAGCAAGTTTAAAGATCAAAATATGTGAATAATCTTTAGGCCTCGTTCGTTTCGCTGATTCGAGTTTTATTACAGTTAAAAGCTCTCACAAATAATCATATCTAACTTTTTTGCTACAGTAAAAAGCTCACATAAAATCACATCTCAACTCGAATCAGCGAAACGAACGAGGCATGATGAATGAGACAAGAGAATAACATTAATGTTATCTCTATGATTTTTTTTTAATTAAAATCATTATTCTTGAAATAGTTGGTGTGAATTTTATTTATTCTTTCTAGTTAACAATTTAAGACCCGTTTAGTTCATGCGTTAGTAATTCTTAATTTTAATATTTGAAATTCAAAATTTTTATAAGAAGAAGACACTATAACATAATCAAAATCATGTATTTAAACACACGAAACAAACGAACTCTTAAATAATAGAGGAGTCAATTAGGGAACAAACGTCTTTTTTTTTCATTCATTTTGAGAAGGGAACACACTTCTTGATGAGAGCTCTCAATAGGAAAATACCGCCTATTTCTGTCCCCTTTTGAACATAAACGCTACTATACTTTATAGATTTTTTTTAAAAGAGAAAAACCCCCTCAACCTTCCTCCAATGTCCATCTCTCTCAACTCTTTTCCATTGAAGTATTTTTATTTTCCAATAATTTTTAAGCACTGGCTAAGATATTTATTGACAATAGTAAAATCTCACGCGCTCATTTTTTTTTCTTTTTTCTTTACCGGGAAATCTCAGGAAATAACTAACAATATAATATATATAAAAAAGTGAAAGCTTTTTTTTTATGTGGCAGTCTCCCCACTTTTTTTTTTCTTTTTTTACTTTTTTTTATGAATTTCTTTTACATTTTAATTTTTGTGTGTTTTTTAAAAATATATTAGACGCGTTTAGAACTCATTCTAAAATGATTTTATTTTTTGTATGAAAATGAAAACGAAAACGTTTTCAATCTGAGACAGAAATCATTTTTGAAAATACGTTTGGTAGTTTTATTAAGAGATTATTTACAATGTAAAAAAACCCATTAATGTCTCTCTCTCTCTCTCTCTGCTCGAGAGAGGAGAAAACAAAAATAAAAAATGAAAAACATTTAAAAGTCATTTTTCATTTCTCTCTCATTTTATACTAAACCAAAAAATCGTTTTCATTTCCGTTTTTTGTCTTTATTGTGTCAAACACCATTTTAGAAACGTTTTCATTTTTTCTTTTTCGAAAAACGTAAAAAATAAAAACGGGATCAATTCCAAACACGACCATTGTTTCTCACTTTACTCTTATGAGAATAATTTTTTCGCATGTGTTCATATTTTGTTTAAAATTTGTTAAAATAATTTTTTAAAAATGTGTATGTTTAATTTTTTTTTGTCAATTGTTATCTATAAATTCAAAAATCCTTAAATTGTTTTATAAATGAATTTTTCATTATTCAACAAACAATAAACTTTTCAAATGTCTCTAACACATCAATACGTGCGGAGCACGTTACACAATTAGTAAGTCAATAAAAGTGACATTGGACTAAATCTGTTGAGAGACATGACCTCCAACAAAATTTGGGCCTGGAGGAAACAAATACTTTTTTAGAGTGCAACTTAAATTTTTATCTTTATTTTTAATTAACATCTTTTAATTAAATAATTATATTAGTTAAAAACATATTAATTAAAAATAAAATATACAAATAAAGACGCGTATTGTACGCTCTTTAAGAGTAAGTTCAATAATTTTTCATTCTTTTCTTTTCTTTTCTCTCTTTCTTCTTCTTCTTAAAGAGGAAAAGATATAAATACCCCTTAGAATGTATGAGTTTTAGATTTTTATATCTTATATTGATTAATATTCTTTAGTCAAAAAAATTAAATTAGTGAAAATGGTATTAATTAGGAGTAAATGGTAAAAAGCTTACAAATAATACGTTCAATAGTCAGTTCACTAATTTTTTAAGAGAAAATTACACAACTTTAAGTATCTGACTTACTAAAAATATTTATTTAAAAAAAAAAACTCTATCTCTTGATTTATTTTAACTTAAAAGTAAAAATATATAAATTAATGTTAAGAAGTAAAAATAAAAGATGCTCGACGTTATGAATATTTTTAAAAAGGGAGAAAGAGAGAAATATGTCAAGACTTGAGATGAAATAAAATTAATAGGTCAATAGTTTACATAAGTTAATAAAGAGCCAAATTACTGTTTTCGTTCATAAATTGTCTGGTTATGAACCATAACTTGACAAGTTATTGTCCATAAATCACGGTTTTTGTCCATAATTTGTCTAGCTATGAACCATAACTTGACAAGTTTGTCCATAACTTATATGGTTATGAATCATAACTTGATAAGTTATGGCCTATTAATTTCTATAACTAAAAGTTAGCCTATATACTTTCTTAAGCTTTTCATATGAGCCTATTTTTTACTATTTTCGTTTTAAAAATGGGAGAAAGAAAAAAATAGGTCAAGACTTGAGATGAATTAAAATTAATAGGCCAATAGTTTACATAAGTGTATAAATAGGCCAAATGTCCATAACTTGTCTGGTTATGAACCATAACTTGATAAATTATTGTCCATAAATCACAGTTTTTGTCAATAACTTATCTGGCTATAAACCATAACTTGACAAGTTTGTCCATAACTTATCTGATTATAAATCATAACTTAATAAATTATGACTTATTAATTTATATAATTAAAAATTAACCTATATACTTTCTTAAACTTTTTATATTTACTTATTTTCTACTATTTCCGTTTAAAAAATTCAAGTTGGAAATTTTCTTGGGCCAATAAGAGCCACTCGAAAAGCCCAACTCCAGAGCGAATGAAACGCTGCATTATAGCCGAGAACTTGTCTTTCCCTCTCTGTATTTAGTCATTGCTACTTCTAGTGGTCCAAAAGCTGACGCCATTGACATTGTACCGCTTCTTTCTCTGTAGTAAAGCACGAAGATCCAGCTTTCAATCCAGAAAAATTAAATTTTGGATTCAATCTCATCCAAGTAAGATTTTCTTTCCTCATTTATCTCTCTCAACTTTGCGTTTATAATGTGTTTGATTATTTGTCTCATGGATACCTGACGAGGTTTAGCTAACGTTCTTTCATGGATTCTTATTATTTCTAGAGTTTCTGCTTCTTTACTTGCTTTCCTAATTGCTAAGTTTAAATTTGGTACTTTTTTTTTTCAATTAATGGAAGCTTATTTAGTGAAAATGAATGCCAATTTGTCCAGATGGTTATGTTTTGAGGAAACCTGGAGATGGGAACAAAGAATATTTTGTGGAATTGTTCGAAGAAGGCTTTCACATTTGGGCTAATAGGGGTCACCGTTTCAGATAGATATGGAAGTGTTGCTGCAGTTAGAGGTGCCTCTATGTCTCCCACGTTCAATCCCAGTACCAGTTCTTTGATGGGTATGGAAACTTGTAAATGTTTGCGGAATTTTCAAACTCAATGTTGTTTCTGCCTGATTATGGATTTTTTCTTAGTGTAATTTGTTGAACCCGAGCCCCGATTATGAATTGCAGATGACTATGTTTTTGTGGATAAATATTGTCTTAGGGACTACAGGCTTTCGCATGGTGATGTTGTTGTTTTCAGGTAATCCTTCTGCTACTGCTGTTTGAATATAATTTATTTTCAATGAAGAACCATATTGAGTATGTCAAAACTTTTATAATTCATACTTATGCAATTAAGTGCAGTTGTTCGATTTTCAAGCATTATAGACCATTTATTAGAGATATTCGGAAAACTCGGGAATTGCGTATCGTTTTCTGGGGTTGTACGAAACTTTAACCAATGAAATAAATAATAAATTATAGCAATTCCGTTGTGATACTATTCAGGAGCCATCTAATTGGTTTTCATATGGCTTGGGTTTAATGTTTTATTGATGATTTGAATATAAAGCAAGCTGAGGCTGAGGCTGCAAGCAAGGCCAGCCATGTACTGGGTACTGAAAAGTTACCATTCCTGGCTTCCTCTTATTATATCTGTTTCCCTTTCTCAAAATCATTCCTCGTATCATTTTTTCCAAAGGGCCATTTGTGAGCCTTGTTTCTTCTCGGTCTTGTAGTTGTTGATACTTGATAAAAGGTAACTTAGCTTGTAAACTTCACTTCAACTGATCAGAATGTATAAATAAGTATTGTAGAATGTTAGCGTGCTTGTAGAATTCAGGAACATGATTCTAACTGGTGTTACATGTTAAGATATTAAAATCTGGTTGTGGCATGCATTGCATGTCAACTGATACTGTTCCCAGTTTCAGCTCAATGATTTGAACTTGGCTTCTAGGATTGATGATAATGAGCACAGCTACTATAACTTAACTTAACTGATCAAGCCAATCACGCTCCAACTCAAGCTATGTATTAGGTTTGCTTGTTCTCAGCGATGTGGAAAATAGCTGTGTAAATAAAAAATTTTGAAATTGGGATGTTACATTTAGTTCCTCATATTGTCATTTCATCTTTTTTCTCTTTTTGGGTTCAGCCGCACGTCTGCAGTCTCTTTAACATTCCTTTAGTTGTTGCTATAGTTGTAATTTTCTATTTTATATTCTTTATAGTTTTTTGCCTCTGCGGCAATTATCTAATCCCACCAAAGGTGCTATGGCGGAATACGTTATTGACTTAGTAGCAATATCTGCAGCTCCCTAACAAATTACAAGGAGAGGCACATAAAGAGAATTATTGGTTTACCTGGCGATTGGATTGGGATTCGTCATTGCTCGGATGTGCTGAGAATTCCAGAAGGACATTGTTGGGTTGAAGGAGACAATCCTGCGTCTAGTATGGATTCAAATACTTTTGGCCCTGTAAGTTGATCTTCTTTAATCTTCTTTTTTTTTTTTTTTTTATAATAGGAAACTAAGAGAACTTCATTAATAAGAGAAACTTTACAGAAGAAGTTTTTGGACGGATGAGAGATCCATCCTGAAGGGGTAAAAAACTACACACAAAAAAAAAGGCGAAAGACTAGGCGGCCACACTGATAATCAGCCACAGCTTAAAAATTCAGACCAAAGATCTCCTATGTCAGCCTAAACCAAAATATCTTCCCAACTGAGCAATATCAAGGCTAATGAAAAATCCTTAAAGGATGTATCTGTAGAAGCCCAGAGAGATGCAAGAAATTTCGCCTTCTCAAATAAATCCCTTACAAATATCTCCTTCTCTTCAAAAATCATATGATTTCTCTCTAGCCAAACCACCCAAAGAATGCTAAAATCATGGCTCTCCACATTGTGTTAGCCTTCTTATCCCTTCCAAAACCAAATAAATCTTAAACCAGAATTGCGTTACTTTGGGTGGGAAAGGCCCAAGAAAGTGAAGCAGCTCCCACTATCTTAAACCATAGATTCCGAGCAACCTTAAAATGGAGGAATAGATGGTCCACTAATTCCGCACTCTTTTTAGACATAACACACCAGTTGGGAGACAAGAGAAGATTAGGATGTTTTTTCTGCACTAAGTCACAAGTATTCAGTTTCTAATGAAAAAATAACCAAGTGAAAACCGTAACCCGAATAAGAGCTCATGATTTCTAGATAAAGTTGAAAGGTTAAAAAAATAGGATTATTTGGACACTGAATAGGAGCACATGATCTTACTTCTTTAATCTATTTTCCCATTTCAGAAGAGGCTCTTTACTAATAACATATTTACTCCAGGTCTCTCCCTATGATCATGTGGAAAATACTAAAATTCCTTCATCGCAAAAACTATCTCACTGACCTCATGTAAATAATGCATAGGCATACATTGTGCTCTTCACATTCAGTGAACTAAAACAGAAGTTAATGGAAGTTACTATTTTTGCAACATTTCAAAAGTACTCACTACCCACTAAGTTTGTACATCTCTATTCAATCCAATCATACTTTTAGGCATGTTCTTTATCTTTTTATCATTCGGGGTGCTGAATGGCAACTATTATGTAAACAGATATTTATATAATCTTTAGTGATAAAAAAAAAAAAAAAACAAAAACAAAAACGATAACAGAAACAAAAGGAGAGCCTCCCGTCATGAGATCCTACACAAGCCCACCGCCGCAATTTAAAAAACAAACTACTCCGTAAGGTTACATTTTGCGCTTTCATGAAAAATAAATAAATAAATAAACAAGAATACACGTTACAGTTTGGACCTCTGGAAGCTGGCTATTTAGCAAGTAGTCAATGAAAATGTTTGAAGTACTGCAGGAATTTTTGTTATGGAAGTCACTTTTGAAAAACCTTACTTGCAGCTTATATTGTTCAACTTTAGTGTTAATTGCATTTATATTCTGGTATGCAGTAATTTGCAATTGTTGGCTGAAATAAGCTTGTTCATGTATCTTTCTATCAACAACTTTGACTAAATTAGAACAATATGTTGTTGACAGGTCCCTCTAGGTTTAGTTGCCGGAAGGGTGACCCACATTGTGTGGCCTCCTCAGAGAATTGGTGCTGTTGAGAGAAAAGTTCCTGAGGAGAGAATTTCTTCTCACTAGCGAGATTTTCTATAAGTCGAAAATTTTTGCACAGGAAACATATTTTTGTCATGATTGTTCTTCTCTAAGATTTTTGCCTCCGCTTGCATTCTTTATTTTGGATTATTTTTTCCAATGATATAAGATTGGTGTTAAAAAAGAAAAAACTTTTAATCTTCATAGTCTTCTCCTAACAGCATTGGGCTTTGACAAGTAATAGGATTGTTTCTTTGCTAAATGTGAAGAGGATTTTTATTTGCTAAAACTCTGAAAAGTTGAAAGGGATTATAAAAAATGGTTAAGAGTATCAGTGCAGTCTAATACAAGATGAATTTCGTTGAGGGGCTTATGTTATAGGATCTATTTTCAATTATATATTTGTTTACTTATTTATTTTGCATTATTATTACTGGTGTTCTTTTAATTGTAGGGTCCTTAACAGTTTGTCCTTTAAACTTTAAAAACTTTCACTTTGCTCTCCTGAATTTTAAATTATTCTCACTTAATCTTTTATGTTGTAATTTCTATTAAAAATAAATAAAAAAGATAGTAATGTAGTTATGTGGTCTTTTTATTTAAATTTTTGTTAAAAATAAACACAAATTATATAGGCACACTTAATCCTCTCTTTTTTCATTTGATTTTAACAGAAATTCTTACAAAAGAACTTAAATGGGATCACTTTAAAATTGAGAGGACAAAGTAAGTTTTGAAAGTTTAAGAGATGTAAAGTGGGAATGACTCTAAACTTTAAAGAGCACCCGTGAAAGGAATTCAAAGCGCACTGTTAATGCCCCATAGCATTGTTGAGGAAATTTAACTCTAAACCATTCAACTATTGACAGAAAGGATTGACTCTTTGTTGTACACATTTGCCCTGTTATTTCTATATTGAAATGTTAATATGACGTCCACTTAATACTTAAAAACATAAAATATGTAAATACTAAATTAAAACTTAATATATGAATTTTTTATTAAATCAATTCCTATTTTTGTTTTGGGCTTTTTAGATTTATTACAAAATTGTTTGGACAAAATAGAAAAATTAGATTACTTTACAAAATTTTATGACAAAGTTTTACTACTCATATTAAAATATAGCAAACAATTAATACTTTACAAATAGCAAAAATTAATATAATTAAAATAACTAATATGTACTTTTATAGTATATAACATGAACATTATTAAAATCATTACTGTGTAATTTTTGTTGTTTTTAAACTAGGGTATTTGCCCCTGAATTTGCAGGGTTTTGACAACTCGCCCCATGAGTTTTTATTTTTAACAATTTACGCCTCCAACTTAGAAAATTCTTACGATGTATTCTAGAAAAAATTGCAGAATATACCTTTAAGAGTGCATAAATTTTGACTCTTGCCACTTACTCTTGATAAATACCTTTTTATTAGTGTAATTATTCGATTAAAAATGTTATAAATCAAAAGTAAAGGTAAAAATCTTGACACATATACTTTTAAAAAGTATTTATCAAGATTACCTTGTATTCTGTATTATCATTATTATTATTATTCCTACTATTATTATTATTATTATAAATAATTAGGGTTTTTAAAAAATTGAGAATGAAGTGAGATGTAACTTACACAGGATGTTCAGTGTTTTTTTGTTTTGGAGGAAATTTTGATTATCAACAAGTTCAATTAGTTTTGTTTATTATTGATGAATTTAAAAATATGGACTTTTTTATGAAATGAATTGGACGTTTAGTAGAGGGGTTCAAAGTTTTGTTACATTATTTTTTTCACAAAAAGTTGAATTTAAAAATTCTACTATAGCCTGTAGTATTTTCTCTCATAAATATAGTTTGAACCCCTCTATCAAACACACCCTTAATGTACCTTTTTGCAAGAAATGGTGGGAAATGGTATTTACTGATTTGTTTGTAATTTAAATACAAATATGTTTATTATTGATTTATTTAAAAGTATGGACTTTTTTATGAAATGAATTGGATGCTTAGGACTTGTTTAGTAGAGGGGTTCAAAGTTTTGTTACAGTGTTTTTTTCACAAAAAATTGAATTCAAAAATTCTGCTGTAGCCTATAGTGTTTTTTCTCACAAACATGATTTGAACCCCTCTATCAAATAAACCCTTAATGTACCTTTTTGCAAGAAATGGTGGGAAAGGTTATTTACTGATTTGTTTGTAATTTAAATACAAATATGTTAATTTTTTGGTGCTTTCTATGGTAGTCCCTGTAAAAAAAGAGTATCGGTAGTCCTTTACCTTTCAGTCATCAGATCTATATAAGAATCTGTCTGTTATGCATACTTTTTTAATATAATGTGATTTTAACTAGATCTAACGGTTACAAATTGAGACTACAGGTAAAACAGACTACCGGAAAAACTCTCTTAACTTTTTTTTATCCAAATTTAATGAAATTTTAACTGAGTGATTAAATTTGAGACATTCAAAGAGTTCAAGGTTCAAGCTGTATAATTTTTGGTATAAATATTAATTGTAAAAAATAGAAAAAAACTTAAGGGTCCTTTAAAGAATTTATCTTATTATTACTATATTTTGTATTATTATTATAAATAATTTTTAAATTAAATTAGGTTTTAATACTATATATTTTATGGTACATTAGCACTTTCATCCATACGAGTAGAGGAAATTTGCAAATATTTTTAAATTTGGGGACGAGAATGACTACTTTCTAAATTCGGGAACGAGAATAAGGGACCCAAATTTGGGGAAAATTTTATTTAAAAAAAAAACGAAAAATCGTTATTTTTCAAACAATGTATAAAAACTTTTTCTTTTAATGTAAAAACGACTTCTTTTCACTTGGCTTTTTTTTTTTTTTTTTTTTGGGGGGCGATAAAAGTTTAGCTCTCTAGTTTAAACTTTAAAGTGCTTGAAGAAAGCCAAAGTATACTGCAATTCCTCTCGTAACCCATTAGACTACTTCTGTTTGAAGTTCCTCTCGTAATTTCAGGTAAAGATCGAACCTTTTTTCCTTGATTGCATTGCGTCCCACGTTTCGTTGAATCCCATTTCCTGGTTTTACCCATTAGTTAGATTTTCTTGGACATTCTTTCTAAATTTTCTTGCTTTTTCTTTCTAAAACTTGGTCGTCAAAATCTCGATGGTTCTAAAGGAAAAGACACGAGAGAAAAGGCTTGAGTGGAGAAATGGGAAGGCTTTTTCTGATCACTCTTGAAGTTGAAGGAAACATCCATCGCTGCAGACACTGCCTTACACATTTTGCGGCATTTCGTGACTCAATGCATGTGAGGATGATTCAATTTCTTGACTTAATTTTTTACTTGATTTCTCTCTCTTTTATGTTTTCGTTTCATGTGCATTCTGTAATTGTTCTGTTATAAGATGGTGCGATTTTCTTTTTCTGCAAATGACGCTCTTTAGTTTGGTTTTCTTTATGTTCTTTACTGCCAGATGACATTTTATTTGGTGTTATTCGAGATTGTTGTTCTTCGAATGCTAAATGTGCTATTTAGGCTATCCTAAATCATTTGGATATTTAGACTTATGAACAAACTACTGAAAGACTAAACCAATATTCCCCAGAGGAGTAATATAGCAATATATGGAAGTATGGAACTTTAGTTTTTTTGTGTTTTTTCTCCGATAAGTGAAATCATTGTGATGATATCATTCTTGTCTTTAGGTCTTGTTGATTAGTGAAATCTCTTTATCACAATTATTTGTTTAGGTCTTTAATCAACTTTTCGGATCTAACCGAATGGTGAGGCAAGTCTAATGTGGTTTTTTTTTATTTTTTATTTTTTGTTCAAGTAGTGTTTGCTTTGGAAATTAACCGTATAATTTAATGTTTCAGTTATATACCACTTGACATGAATCCATTCTTCTTCTCAGACAAAAACTGGTTGGGTGTGTGGGCCAATAATATTAAAGATTTGATTTCAATAGTTCTTTCCCATATTAATAATAGGTCTCTTTAGTTTTGAAACCATGTTCTTCATCTTGTTACTTATATACACTTTGTCCCTTCTTCATTATTGATTTGTTTTGTACTTGGAATCAATTTAGTTATCTTTGTTTGTATGTTTTGCAAACCATCAAATAGATGTTCTAACCCTGTCGTTTGTTCTTTGTTTTTAGGATCAAATGCTTGGCGGAAGAGCATTTCTTTTTCCTAAAGTGTAAATGTCCCTTCCTTTCATTAAAATTAGATTACCATGTCCTCACTATTTGGAAGAAAAATGTTTGATAACCTTCACTATAGCGACCAAAGTAAAGCTATTCATAGCATTCATTATAAATTGCCATGGGTTTATCAGGATATTTTTCTTTAAAGCAGGAAGGTTCATGGGATTTTCTAGGCGTAATTGCTGTTGTAGATCTCTTCAATGAGCGTTCTTATCTTGTCACAACTCTTTTCTTTTTATATATACTCATATTGTTTCTTAGACCATAGTTTCTAGGAGATAAAAGGCGCCAAGGTTTCTACTAAGTTCCGTTTTCCCACATGGCGTCGCGATGAACTTGTAATTTTCTGGTTGATCGATTGCGTAAATTAGTTCGCGATATGTTATGTAGTCCTTTGTTTAGTGACAAAAATCTGTAGGAATCTTGGTACCCTTAGTGTCATTGATGTAGAAGGTAAAATAAGGACTTGTTTCCCATGAAATATCTATGTTTCCTTTTTGTTTTCTTAAAGAGGCTTATCTTAAATAATGTGAAATACGTCAATTATGCATATGTGGATGCTTCAAATATAACATTTTCCCCCAATGCATGGCAGTGCCAACGTCATAGAAGGAGAAGAACTGCTGCCGGGAGCACACATCGAAAACGAACGGCATAGTTGGGTGGAAATTTTCTGCGTCGGGTGTGGCTCAAACGTGGGGCTCAAATTTGTTCAGGCATGCATTTATAAACTTCATGTCCCAATTTCTAGTGCAGTGTTCAGATTTAGCAATTTCTTTTGCTCTTTCTAAACTTGCTCATCTTGTGTTGATTTTCATATTCAGGTGCCTCCAGCATCAATAGAGTTGGAAGGAAAATATCTCTTCCGAAGTTAAGAAATTCAACATGTTGCAGCTCCCCCCACATGTGTCGGACTGGTGTTGTGCTTTTTCGTTGTTTGAGCGGTTATAAGATTGGTGGTCCTGATGGAAGCGGCATCATTGAACT